TCTTTGGCCATCGAAACAGTCAGTTCAGGAGTAGAATGCTCGCCAGCCACGTGTTAGATCAGGGTTCGCATTCCTGATTGACGAACTCCTAAACCTCTCCTACTTTAGTGGTCGATGATATTCCTTGAAAACAGGGGAAGTTGACTGTGAGACTAGTTTTCCCAACCTCCCACCTACTAGGACTTCTGAGGTGGAAGTTTCGCATTTACGTAAAAAATTGTCCCTCATTTATAAATATTCTTACTCACTTATCACCCTTATGTTTGCTAAACATTCATTAGAAATTTGAAGACTGATCACGAACTGAATACGTTTAGAGAACCACTGAAAATCAGAAAGCAGTACTGGAGAGCTGTTTCGTCATGAATTCGGGACTCTCCAAAATAGATGAAATTTACCGGCAGTCGCTCTGTATATATATCATGAATTAGCAGAAGCTTGAACGCATAAGCCATCGGTTTACAAGGTCATCTTGTGACATAAAGGTTCTCTGTCCGATCCCTAGTGTGGTCATTTCTGTATACTGATGAATAGTCCAAAAGTAGGACGAAACGCTTGTCTAACACTCTTTGGTTTCCAGCGGTTCTTCAACTGATATCCCAATCTATTTTCAGTCTTAAAATTGATGGAATCCCTGCAAAACATCATTTGAAAATTCATTCCAGAACTATTTAATGTTGAAAATTATGAACAAAATGTCCAACATCCTTTAATAGAACAGTTTCATTATGAAGAGAATGTGCGATGTGATTTTCCGACTGTCACTTCTTACTGTTCAGTGCTGTCAAAACTATTTTCCTTTATCTTCGATTGCACACTGGTCAGTAACTAGTGTGTAATGTATCTAATCCTGTCTTCGGTGCAGACTGAATTCTATCAGTCAGGCTTGCAATGTGGCCACCATGCCACCAGGTGGCTCGCCATTACGATGCACTGTGAAATGTTGGTATTAGATGATTGGAGGCAATCGGCAGGAAGCCTTGGACCTTATTTATTTAAACGCATAAAAACATGGTACACTATGGCATCAAGAAGGATGCGCCACACAATAATAATAATAAAACAACATAGATCAAAAGAAAAGAAAAAGAAAGAAGAGAAAAAAACATATATAAGTAGAGGACAGATAAAGAACTTCATTAGGAAGAAAAACAGTCATGCTTAACAAGTTCAAACAGTATTTGTTAACTATCATCGGGAAGGGAAGAAAGAAGGAAATTGCAACAAGTGTAATAGCACGCGATAAGTTTCATTGATTGTTTGTTGCTTCATTTGATTCATTGTGTGAGGGCTGAGATACTGCCCGGGCGCCCAGACCGAAGCAGGTGGTTTTATTAAGGGACCACTCCTCGAGCCTTTGACTTGGAGTCTAATCCGCAAGGCAGCGGAGCAGCGTCCGGAGCTGCATTCCCATGGTTTCCGGTGACCCATATGGGTTCATACGCCATTTGATCCGATTGGATACTGGAGCCCATGTACCCCATGTTAACTGCTTTTAGTTTAACCGCTATCCAAACAACCTTCCTGACATAGTAGGACCTGCAGGGACAGAGTACCAGTCAGTTGAGCTTGTTGGATCAGTGTGGTATTCAAACCCGACCACCACGGCAAGGTAGTAGTTATCGGCCGGGGTTTTTATGACGAAGAGATTTTCTTTTATTTATCAGAACAAAAATTCGGTACAGTTGATACGGGCACCAAGAAATATGCCATACCACACAAATTATCACAGTTTGTCAAAAGGCCGTGATACTCCCCAGATGCCAAGCCTTTGACGGCCTAGTTAAACTTTAAGCACCACTAACTAACTATCAATGGAGTGCGACCGCACCAATGACATTGAAACGCTCACTGAGCAAGTTAGTCAAACCTGGCAAGTAATGTTGTCATCATCAACAAAATATGCCCATTGAAGTGGTTTGCTATTAAATGGGATATCAGCTTAGGTTTGGGGGAAGATTAAGTTACTCTCTAAGCCAAGGACAAGTTAGGGCTAGGTTGACCTAATAAAGGTGACATTAGGTTTGGCTCGAGTTAGATTACAGTTAGTTCGGGGATATTTTCACGGTAGGGTTAGGTTCAGGAAAGATTAGGGTTATTGTTAGGCTTACAAAACCTAAATCATTACATGCATAGAATGTGGTTAAATTACTCTGTTAATATAAGAATGGAACTTGTGCAGTATGGTAGAGCATAGTTCAATTGTGGGTAACATTTATTTTCATAGTCTCACAGTGTTATACAGTAATATTTACTGATGACGACGTTTCGAGTACAGTTTATTGCTCATTAAATGTTACTGCATAACATGGTGAGACTTTATCAAAATAAATTTTACCCACAATAGAGTTATACTCTGTTGATACTCCTACCAAAAACTGAGAGCTATTTTTATCACATGTGAGAGGAAGGTATCCTCTGTAAGACTTAGCAACAGTTTTTATGAAATTCTTTTCAGAAATATGTGTGTAATCCTTCACGTGATTGGTGCGTTCGAGGTCATTCGCTGATTGGTAGTTTAACTTAAGTTTAACTTCTCCCCCTTCGACCTGGGGTCTGTTCCACAAGGCAGTGGAGTGTAGCTTCAGGAACTACATTCCCTTTAGTTGCAGGTGTGCAGAAACGCCACCACTCTCCCCGCCCTAAGCGAACCAGCATGTCCAGCAGTCTTGACTGTAACCCCCTCCACTTTTGCGAAAAAAAATCCGTAATGTCGAGAGAAAAAATAACTAATGAAACTATTTTTAAAAAGATTAAAAATAACACAACAGTATTTCACATGCAATGAGTTTAAAATTAACACAGTAAGGTAAAATCCCAATCAGAAACACTTTACTACTTTTGACTTTACTTGTCTCCTTTATACATATTCCAATGATGTAGACACATTATTCATTGCTTGTAAATTCCCACTTGCTGTTGTCAGTCCACATGCTTTCACTGCATTTGTCAGTGCTAATAATGCCTGCTTGTTGGAACATCCAACTGAGGCGCAAAACCATCTCCATCTAGCTAGAACAAAATAGGCTTGAAGCAGACTGTCATTTGGAGCTAATTTACGGCATATTTCAAGTTGACTTTTTGGTAGACATGCTGCTGTATTATTTAACTTGGAATTGGAATTGGAATTTAAATCTTCATTCGCTGTAGTAAGTCCTTGTCGAAAAACATCCTCCCAACGACTGTTAATATCTTTAGCCAGTTGTAGTAAGTGTTGGTCGCTTAATGGGAATAATTGTTTATTTGCTTGTGACATTGATATATCTGTGTGTGTGTCTGATTTAACTATAGACAGCTGGTGAGTTGGTTGTGTGAGATAAACTTTGATCGATAAATTATGAATTAGTTTTTTGAGTTGCTATTGTTTATTGGTTGAACGAAGCATTTTCAAATGACCTCAGCTTAGGTTTAACAAGCCAATTTTTAAGAAAAAAATCACAAAAAATCTCAGGTGAGTAAAAAACGTCAACTGCTTAATAAGTTGAGTAATATTGCGGTGTATTTAAAACAAGAAATAAGTTAAACTATTGTGGTGCATCGGTGGTACAGTGGTAGAGAGCTCGACAACCACACCTCACGCGGTCCGGGATTGGATCTCCCTTACCTTGCTAAGCCGATAATACCACTAGTAAAGAGGGAACGTTGGAAATGAGGCTCGCAACCCTTCCCTATAAAACTAAACATCACTGTCTATCAGTCTGTTTTCAACATTGAACTTTGCATCGATGTGTGACAGTTCGAGTCGCCACACTGCCTCCTTGTAACACATAAAGCAAGAGAGGAAAGTAGAAGAAATGCATAATAAAGGCAGTAAGCAGAGGTGTGAGGCAAAGGAATAGTAATAACGAAGAACAATATAGTTTCATTGGAAATCATAATTCACAAGGAGTGGATGCATCTGAGCCAGCCATTGAGAACGATCACTTTGAGCCATATCACCAATTATCTCCAGCCATTGGTTCTTAACGTCCCGAGAACTCCAACCAGGAAGCCAGTCTACACCTTCCTACGTGACTAGCTGGCTGGCTTAAACTAACTGCTGTGGATTTCATTGACTGGTGCCATGTTTTGGTTTGACCACCGCTAGCTCTTTTCCGGCCTGACCCTATGCCAGCTAACATTGCCTGTTGTCGAGGAAAGCGATCAATAGACATGCGGAAGACATGTCCTAACCATCTCAATTAATGTAATTTCACAGCCTCGTCGATTGATTTCCCCTCCTTACCTAGCACTCGACCGACACCTAACCGCAATATTGCTCACCCTATTACAACTACCACTTCATATGGGAGATACAGCTCAGGCACCTATGATCAAAGACAGCAAACCGAGGTTTTCATATCTTCCACTCTCAGTGGCCAGGTCTCATAGCCACAGAAGATGACGGAGCGGACTACTGAGCAGTGCACATGTCGTTTGGTCGATAGTCAGCCGGATATCACGTGTACGCCAGAGACGGCGTAAACTGGCATATGCGAAATTAGCCCTCTGTATCCGTACTCAGCTGAGATTTAGTCAGAGATCAACCCGTTGGCGTTGGCTGATGCAACTTTCCAAATAAGTGAAGCGGTCAACGTACTCTACCACTTCACTCCTTATTTCTAAGCTAGAGGTGAGTCAATGTAGTCCATTCCTGTAGCCTGATCATCTTACAATTGGCGGGAGCGAATCGTATGCCAAACATTCGTAGATTACAGCTCAAGGTGTTAAGAAGACTCTGCTAGATTTTGTCAGCGTCTTCACCTAGAAGAACAATATCGTATCATCTGCATATTCTAAGCCAACGAGATTATTCCATAATGGTAACAAGTCAATTCCTGAGTCACTAAAGTCAAGTAAATTAGTGAGATTTAGGATTACATCGTCTGGGAAATGAACGTGGTCCACTTGCCTGGTTAGTGAGCATTTTATCTCTGAACCAATCTATGGTAAATTGTGGTATAAATTTTAACTTTACATTGGTGTTTTTGAATAATAATAATGATCCTTTTATTCTATAGGTACAGCTGAAACATCTTTAAATTCCAAGACTTCAACAAGACGTTCGTTGATTCAATCAATAGCCAATGAAAGTGTTGATACATCTTCTGAAATAAGGTATGTACTTTTGTCACTTTTATTTTATGAGCTTTAAGAACTTACACAAATGAGAACTATTCACACATCCTATTTTTTGTCATTGTATCTGAAAACTGTCTGTATGAATAGTTGAATGTACTTGAATACTAAACTTCATGCATTGATTCCCCCCTTGATGAATTTGAATAAAGCAAGAACAACAGTGCAGTGGTTTGTGCAGAATAAGAAGATGGTACCATCATTGCTTATTTCGTTGACTTCTCATCTGCTTACAGCCTAAATAAATTATGAGGTTTACGTACAGAAAAGTTTTAACATACTTACAAATTTTACATGTTGTCAGTTGACAGGATGTTCCACGTACACCTTATTATTTGAACAAGACATATAAGCGAACAATATTGCTGTTTTCAATTAGATCTTCTTCAGGCTTTACTCTAATTTACATAGATTTATATATAAAAAATTTTTAACCAAAGACGGTAATTTTGTGGATCAAATAATAATAATCATAATAATATGGTAAATGTTTCGAACGTAGTTAATAACGATGATTATAATGATAACAAAATAATGATAATAAGGTTTATGCAGGTGGCGATAAGAATAACGAATGTTGTGTATATGTTGACAATTCAATAAATAAATAAATTAGGTCAAATCAAATGGAACGATAATCAGAGTTTAAATAAATATCATAAAAGTACGAGGGAGATGGATGATAAGAAAGGGTGGGAGGGTTTTGAATAGAATTCACCTAGGCCAGGCAAGGGAGAGACAGAGATAGAACTAACTTCTTTTATTATATACAAAGACTAGAATTGTTCTCTCGAATTAATTCCCATAGCTTCAGTTAAGCGTAAAAGACAGGTTCTGATTCCGTTCGAAAGACTCGACTGAATGCGATAGATAACTTTGAAGGCACTATTTTTGACCACCATTGTCAATTAAATGAGCCAAAATAGAACTTCGTATAGATTTTATTTGACCTTTCCCGAACTATGAAGGAAGATGCTCATTAATGCGTTTGTTAAGCTGTCTAGTTGTTTGGCCTATATAGCTTTCTCCACAGGAGCAACTAATTTTATAGATACACATGGAAGTGGCACAGCTAGGTCGCTTATCTTTCACTTGAGCAATCGTAATTGGCCGGTTGGTAAATGACAAACAAAGGGTGGCGGCAGTATAAGTCCGTTTTATCGCCCTCGATAATCTCAGATGTAAGAATTCGCTAGCCACGTCCCCATTAAATTGCAATTTCATGTCTTTCATATTTTTATGATATTTATTGAAAGTCTGATTATCTGTCCACTTTACCTACCTGTAGTATTACGTAACTTTTAAGATTTGACCTAATTTATTTATTTATTGAATTGTCTAAATATTCACACATATTACTACCTTTGTTATTCTTATCACCACCTGCATAAACCTTATTATCATTATTTTGTTATCATTATAATCATCGTTATTAACTACGTTCGAAACATTTACCATATTATTATGATTATTATTATTATTTGATCCACAAAATTACCGTCTTTGGTTAAAATTTTTTTATATATAAATCTATGTAAATTAGAGTAAAGCTTGAAGAAAAGGATCTAATTGAAAACAACAATATTGTTCGTTTATATGTCTTGTTCGAATATTAAAAATGGGAATATTTAAAGATTTAGATTGTAGGTGTTTTTTTGAATTTGGATTCATTTCAATTTAGGATTTATCGAACACCAGGGAACATTAGACAACTGTTTTGTCCGGGTTTGAGACTCTTCAGCAATGTATGTATACCTACAACGCCTCCAAGAGTCGAACTGAGGAATCTTTAGGTGACGCGATGAAGCTCATTAATTATTCAATAATCTCTAACTGTTGTTAGTTAGTTAGTTCATAACGACACCGTCGGCATTGAAATTAGTCCCAAATGTATGAAGTTTTCAGTCTATCCTATTTCAAATGTGCACAAGAAGCCGACATGTCAACTTGAGAACGAGTATTTCAGTCCAACCAATCGACAAGAAAATGTAAAATTGAATTAAATAACTAATATGACCCGTTGCACAAGAGGTGGCTCTCGTAGCCCAAGTGGTCTAGTGGATAACGCTTTGGCGTTTGAAACTATGGGCACTGGGTTAGAGCCTCGGTGGGAGCACCATCACTCACTGAGAAATGCAGGTGCATCCAGATGATGAGTCCCAAGTTGGACGTAATGCGCATCCTGGATTCCACCAATTAAATTCTAATTATTACATGCCGAGGCATCGTCGAAGCATCTGCACAAAAAGCTAACAGACATGTCAACCTTAGACCGAGCACTTCAGTCCAATCAATCGACGGGAAAATCTAAAATTCAATGTGCGTTGGTGGCACAGTGGTTAAGACTGTCGCAGACCATGCACATGGTCTGGGGTTCGATCCCCTGCCGATGCACACCTGATATTTATGATCGGCCTGTGACATTTGGGCTACCGATATCACATGCAGAAAATTCCATACCTGTACCAAAAACATACGGTGTGGAATCAAGCTGTAGTCAAAAAAGTAAAATCATAGTAATCTTCATCTAAGCAACAAATTGTGGATTTTTTCGTCGTTTGAAAATTATTTCATTTGATGCAAACATGGTTTTTTTCTCTGCTTTGATTTAATTATTTTTTTCTTTAATAGCTCCTATCCTTTATCCTTTACATATGTGGATGAAAATGACAATCTAGTGGTTAGTCGACAAAATGCTCATCAACGTGAATACACAATAGACGAGGAGAAATTATCGGGTTATCGTATATGTTGTATATATGAAGATTTAATTGTCTCCGGTTTATCTTATCGTATAGACTGGAGTAGATCACAGTAAGTAATATATTGTAATTTTCAAAGGTGTGTCACTGACTAACTGTCAGCAAGTGATTGCTTTGTAGCCATTTTTGATTGGTTGGTTTCCAGATAGTTTCTGTCATTAATTAACACTAAATTTTAGAGAACCAGTATCATTAGATGGTTGGAGGCAACCGGCAGGAATCCTTGATTTACCTAGGTTTCGCGTTAGTTGACACTCACCAGTCATCAAGGCGTACCTTGAAGGGATTTATGTCCCTTGTGAGATTCGAACCTGCGTCATCCAGTGCTGCACTTAGTCAGTGATGTTACCACTGAGCTGTTGGGAATTGCGACTGACCTCCTGTACGACTGTATTGGATATTTTGACTGGATACTAGCTAATAACTAGTGTAATGTGTTTAGACTGTATAATGTCCAGCCACAGTATCCAATACAGTTTTATTGTAACGACAGAAGACAGGGGCCAGGGAACAGATCGTTTATTGACAAAATCAACAGATATTTATAGATTTTTATGTATATTATTATAAGCCTTATTGTCAGCAGGGAAGCAACGTCTTCTGATTGGTTGTCTTCTTGCCGAAGGTTATTCTGTACTGCTTGTGACCGTTCCTTCAAAAGTTAAGCCATGTGTCTGTGAATCGTATTTGCACAGGTTAAGTCTTCTGTGATTGGTTGTTGAGTTCCTCAAGGTTAAGCTTTGTTCTTGTTTTTTCCCATGATCCCAATTCAGGACGTAAATATTGACGTAAATTGTTGTCTACGATTTTTGTTTAGCAGACAGCTCTCTTCACACTATGAGTATGTCAATGGTGAGCTTAAATAGCTCAGTAGTGATAACGTCTGTGACTGCAACACTGGGTGACGCGGGTTCTAATATTGGAAGGGACATGAGTTGTTTCATGGTTTCAGATACGCCTTACTAACTGATGAGTACCAACAAGCACGGAACCCAAGTTGAAGGCCGATTGCCTTCAACCATTTAACATTAAAAAACTGATTAACTTTCAAGTAATCGATGTATAGAAATTTCGTTGACTAACCGATTTCAAGATAAAGATTTTGTTATGAAGTGATATTAGTTGAAAAAAAAATGTGTGAAAATCGGAAACCAGTAGATAACTGTCTTATACTAGTGTGATTGGCTGCTAGATGAATACTGCTGTGAAGAAAGGTGTCGAGTACACTCTTCCTAGTTTTCGATGGTCTGCTAGAGTTGATATCGTTTCATGACAAATTCTTACGAATTGACATTTATGATATATAATCTATTTCTCATAAGTGACTGACTACGAAATGGAGTTATCCTGGAGTCGTGAACAGTAGCACCCACTAAATGTTGTTGTTCGTGGTGGTGGTGGTGAGGACAAATACTCACTGATGATATCGTCAGTAGTCGACAGATGTTACAGTTCATTGACTGTTGAGTCCTGATCAACTGGTTGAATGATAATGTATGTACTCATCTCTAAACTTACGGCATGATTATAGTTAACTGAATATTTATAAATAAATATAAGATTAAGGCTTGTAATAAGGGGGGGGGGGTTGTGCATAGGGCTAACAACTTCATTGCGTAAGAAATAAAAGCACCACTGCTACCTAAGCTTCATGCCTCTAGCTTGAAGACCCCTTTGTTCCACTGGGAACTTAGCGGAATAAAAAAAGTACTCTCACTGTAATCACCCTACGACTAGTTATAAAAAATATTTCAAAGTAGATTTTGTCACGGACTGGACACCATCGAAGACAAAGGAGCACTAAGACTCGTCAGTAGTACTTGCACAATAGAATGCAACTTTTATTCCGTTACGTTCCGGCTAGAACATCACAGGGCTTCAAACTAGAACTCTGGAGTTTCAATAGCAGTGGTTTCTACTCTTTTACAGGGTGGAGCTGCTGCTAGCCTTACACCCAATCTTTTCTGTTTACTTGCTGCAAAAGAGTACTAGGAGTGCACCGGTGCATCAGGATTGAAGACTGGATCATGTACAGCATGGTAGGCGAACATTCAAACCTTGAACCACTGATATTTCTTTTATACGTATTGGTTTTCCGTTAATCATATCAACTTGATGATGGGTCACATTATCAATATATGTGTAAAACTTGGCCGCTGTGGTAGTAAGCAATTCCATACTAGTTTGTTTATTAAATGGATTTATCACACAGTGAAACAGTATTATTTACTGGATGATAAGGTTTTGAACAAAATTTATTGTGCTTCATAATCATATCAATTATAATCACACGACTTTAAAACTTGAGTTTTATAGTTTTCTTGGTTCTCTCCTATTTGTCGTCGTAGGCGTTGTGGTAGAATTTTCCAGATATCTTGGACAGGTGTGGAATCATTCCTATTACATGTATTTGCAGTTGATTCGATAAACAAAGCTTCTGTTATCGATCTCTCCCCCCACCCTGTTACACTAGATTTTAAAACTGTCATCCTATCCCATCCATCCTATTGTATGGTTGTATGCAATTGCATGTAGTGCTATGGCCAACTGAACTATTCTCTAGTTTTCTTATCTTATTCGGGTCAACCAATCTAGATTTTGCTAGGTTTTTATGTTCGGCTAGTCTGGCTGACTGCCCCTGTTCTACTAGTTTGACCTATGTATTTGACCTGACAATCATTGCAGGCAGGGTATTAGATAAACGAAATTGTTTTGTTTTGAAGGTTCCACAGGACTGATTCTCTAACCGACAAAGCTTGTTTCTAATTGAGTTTGTGGGTGGTTTGAATGACAGCCACTTTTATTCCTGCCTTGTTAAGAATTCTGCGTAATGTGGTTTCCGAGGTTCCTTCCTTGTATGGAATTACTACTGATGATTTAGATTCCTTATTGTTGGTGTTGTCATTATCTTCTGCAAGTTTGACATGCATGTCGTCATTAATATTACCATTACTATTATTATTATCACTGCAACCACTATCATTATTTATCTTACTTTTACATTTCCTTACATATTTCCTGACTAAGTTATCCGGGTAATTATTAAGTTTCAAGGCTTCTTTTATGTGTATCACTTCCTGTCTTAGATTTTCCTCGGTACTATTTAGTTTTTGTGCTCTATCATCTAAACATTTCACCAATCCTGTTTTCACTGATAGAGGATGGGATGATCGGAAATCCAAATATCTGTTTAAATGTGTCTGTCTGTCTGTTTTCGACATAGAACTGTGCACATATGTGCGTCAATTCAAGTCACCAGCTCCCTCCATGTAGCACACTAAGCAAGAAAAGAAAGTAGAAGAAATACATATTAGAGATAGTAAACAGAGGTGTGAGACAGAGAAATTGTAATAACGAAGAACAATATAGTTTCATTGGAAATCATAAATCTCAGGGAGTGGATGCATCTGTGCTATCCATTGAGAACGATCACTTTGATCCATATCACCAGTTGTTTCCAACCATTGGTTTCTACCGTCCCGAGGACCCCAAACAGGAAGTGACTTAAACTAACTGTTGTGGATTTCATTGACTGGTGCCATGTTTTGGTTTGACTACCGCTGGCTCTCTTCCAGCCTGACCCTATGTCAGCTAACATTGCCTTTTGTTGAGGAAGGCGATGACTAGGCATACGTAACACATGTCCTAACCATCTCAGTCGGTGGAATTTCACAGCCTCGTCGATTGATTTCCCCTCCTCACCTAGCACTCGACCGGCGCCTAACGTCGATATTGCTCACCTTATTATATTACTTCTCACGGGAGGGAGATAGAGCGCAGGCACCTATGATCAAAGACATCTAGCTAGCCTGTCTTTTCATGAATTCCGCCCTCAATGGCCAGGTTTCACAGCCAGCCATAAAGGAGGACGGAGCCGACTGGTGAGCAGTACACCCGCCCTATGCTCGACAGCCAACCGGTTATCACGTTTACGCCAAAGACGGCTTAAACTCGTATATGCGAAACTAGCCCTCTGTATCCATGCTGAGATTTCGTCAGAGATCAACCAGTTGGCGTTGGCTGATGGTACTTCCCAAATAAATGAATCGGTCAACGTGGTTTACCACTTCACTTCCTATTTCTAATCTAGGAGTCAGTGTAGTCCAGTCCTGTAACATCATCTTGCATTTAGCGGGAGCGAATTGCATGTCAAACATTCGTAGATTGTAGCTCAAGGTGTTCAGACGACTCTGTATTTTGTCAGCGTCCTCACCCAGGAGAGAGGGCTTTATCGCCTGCATATTCTAAGTCAACGAGATTATTCTCTCCTTGGTAGCAAGTCAATCCCTGAGTCGCTGAAGTGAGTTAGGATTACGTCCATTAGTACATGTACGATGAAATTGAATAGAAATGGGGATGAATGTGTGGATTTCTTGTAAACGCTAGTGTTTAACTTCTCATCTTCTTTCCTTTTTACGCTGAAATCTAACATTGGAAGCTCCCGCGATTCCTGACTTTCCAATTCATCATAAGTGAATTGAATTGCCTCCACTTTTGAGTTGATGTGCTCGAGAAACCTATCTATATCTTGTGTTCTAAGTACAGTGAATGTGTTATCTGCATACCTCCACCATACTTTTGGAGTAGGAGTGGGGGAAACGTTTCAATCGTTATTTTTTCCCACCTATCCATGAATATATCCCCTATAACCGGGGATATTGATGACCGCATGACAACTCCCTCAGTTTGTTTGTATATTTTCTCTTGGAATTTAAATACTATGGAAGTCAGACATAGCTGTACTCCCAGCATTATGTCCTCGAGTGGCACTTTTGTCCTAAGTTCGAGTTCTTGGCCAGAAATGAGTTCGTTTCTGACTGCCTCCATAGCCATGTTTCTTGGTATACGTGTATATAAACTGACAATATCAAAACTAACCATTTTTGTCTTCATTATCTAATTATCTAAATTATCTAATCTGTGTTTTAGTTCATAAGAATTAGTTAGTCTAGATTTCGAGTGGATTTTTTAAAACTTTACTATTATTACTTAGTTGTATCTATTTTCTTCAATAGACTCACAGAAAATGATGTCTCCTATACACTTGCCTATTTACTTGATTCAAATGCTCCGAAATTATCCACTAAGCAGATGTTAAATAATAATTCTGGGAATAGTGGCAGCAATGAAACTAACCCACTAGATTCATCACATGAGGTAAAAGAATTCAAAAGTATTGAGAATGGAACAACGACATCAATCAGTACCACTTCCTTGACGACAATAGCAATGACGACGACAACAACAACGGCGTTTACTTTTAAACCTGTTTCAAAAGTTAACGGAAACAACACAAAGACAGCAATTAAACGAAGTAAATCTCAAGGTAGGTGTGTGTGTGTGTGGGGGTAAATTTTTAAGTGTTAATGTATCCGGTCAAAAAAGGACTTTGACTTTAGCTTTCATTCTCTTTTTATTCTCTCTGATTGACAAGGGATATACTTGCTATTCTAAGAAAATTCATAATTCCCTCTCAGAGATTCATACTTGCAGTACTCATCGCTCATTGAAAAGACCTTCGACAGCGTCGATCAAGAGGTGATTTGGTAACTACTTCGCTACTGCCAAAGGGTGCCGCCGACAGTTATACATCTTGTCCAACAGTTATACGACAATGCTGCATGCCAAGTAATCCACAACGAGAAACTTACGGAATCCTTCGAATAAGTGAAGATGGGAGTAAGACCACCTACTATTGCCAACGATTTTCTTGATTGTAGTAGATTGGATAATGCGTGATAGACAGCAGTGGGCAGCGGGGAAACAAGCATAAAATGAACTCTCGCGAAAAACTTGGAGGATCTGGACTTCGCCGATGATATATGTCTGATTTCCCACAAACTGGAAGATATGCAAGCGAAAAACAACAAGTTGGCGATAGAAGAAGCATTAAAGATAGGACTTCAGGTGAACATAGAGAAAACAGATGTGGTGATGAAGGTTCCCGGCCAACAGCAACAGCAGCAACAACAGACAACAATCAGCCAGCATAAATGGGAGGAACCTGAAAGAAACAGCCTCCTTTACCTATCGACCTGGGAAGCATCATTACAACTACAGGCGGATGGAACTGACGAGAATATCAAAGCAAGGGCCAGGAAAGCAAGACAAGCTTTCATTTCTCTCAAGTCTGTGTGGAGGTCAACAGCACTCAGCATGGAAATAAAAATAAGATCCGGATTTTCAACTCCAGTGTGAAGTCAGTGCTACTCACTATTCGGATGGATCAGAGACTTGGCGCGTCATAAAGAGCACCTCAAACAAACTACAGACCTTCATCAATCAACAGCTGTCTTCGCTCAATACTCAAGATCAGATGGCGGGTCAGAAAAGATCAGAAACTGGGACCTGTGGGAGCGAACCAACCAGGAACCGATTGTGAAACAAATAGGCAGAAAGAAATGGAGATGGATTGGTCATACTTTGAGGAAACCATCAAGTGAGTGACATCACTAGACAAGCCATCACTCGAGTGGAACCCGAAAGGAAAGCGGCGAGTTTGTCGTCAGTGCAAGGGTGACTTGGAGGAGGTAATGTGAAGAGGAGATGAAATCATGTTGGCAGACGTGGAGCCAGGTGAAAACGTTGTCAAAGAATCGAACGCAATTGAGATGGGTGGCTGAAGCCCTATATTCCTCTAGAAATTAAAGGAAATAATAATATTAATACTCATATCCCAAGTGTATAAATAACTTTATCACTTATAATCAATTACCTATCTGATGGTATTTATTTTAATTGTCTAATCCTAAGTACTCATGGAAATCTTACTTCAAGGCATTCTATACACACTCTAGGCAGATACATATAGGACTCGTGCGACATTTCTTAACCTGCATCATCTCTAGACGTAGACCTGATATCCGGTGATCGATCAAAGGATGTGTTTACTGCGTACTGCGCACGACCACTGCGTAATCCGAGCCACCAACTTCTTCGATGAACAATGCTTGCTAAGATAGCATCAAATTGGAAAAGAGTTAAAGGTGGTCAAACTGAAAACCTGGAGTCAGTCCATGGAATCTTACATAGTAGGCAGGTTATATAGGCTCTTGGGTTGGGGGCTCACCAGAATTATAAGAACCAATCGCCAGAGATTAATTAATTAGTGATATGCCTCGAAATGGTTGTTAAATAGCTCAGATGAATTTTACGCCTTTTAATGTTCCATATTCAAAACTTAAAACAATTAGTTCCCTTTATGAATTTAGATAAAGCAATAAGAAGATGTAATTTGTCTGAATCGTGTAATGCGTTTGCGTGCAAGACACATTTCGAACAATCTGATCACACACAGACTTGTCATAGGAATATATATGAAATTAATAAAGAGGTAAGAGGTGAGAAAATAGACAAGTTAGGTCAAGTTAAAAGGGCACATTCAAGGTCAAAATAACAATGAAGGTCACTAAACCAAATAGCAGAGGTAATAGTACATCTACCTTGGCTTGTATCAAAAAAAATTTACCAAGGAAGGTAGGTTTAGTGTGATGACGAATTGTTTGTGATGAACGCATAGAGGTGGTTTAAACTCTATAATTGCCAGGTAGGGCTTTCACAAACTTTAGGATACGCACTCCCCAAAACACGTTTTATAGATAGGTTTAAAAGATCTGTTAACATCAATTTTATGTCCTGTCTCTGTAATATGTTTCGCAATAGAAGAGCTAGGTCTCCTGTTCTCACCGTTTATAGGTTCTGAAGATTCCATTTGTTTCTGGAGCCATTTAGGAATATGCTCTGAAGCCAGTTCTTACTTGCAGAGATCGATGAGTCCTCCCTATATATGTGTGTCCACACGTACATTCAAATTGGTAAATATTCCTATGACAAGTCCGTGTGTGATGGATCAGATTGTTCGAAGTGTGTTGCACAAATACATTACAACACGATTCAGACAAATTTCGTCTTCTTATTGCTTTATTCCATATTCATTAAACCCTCAAATTTTTTCATGTTACTGTTCTTTCTAATCGGGATATTAAAGGGAAAAGAACAAGAAGTTCAGCAAAGATGACGATCTTTTCGGCGATTTCATTCTCGAAAGCAGCTATGCAATCGCATTTATATACATTATTTTACATGGATACAATTATTATTTGTTTAATTAATTCCACATAGTAGCGAAGGAGATACTAATTTTCAACTTGATATGAAAGTTTTAAGGTACAAATATAGATTACAAAGGGCTTGGATACAAGATTGCATAGGATTAGAAAACAGTTACAACGTATGCAAAATTAATATTTGATAACTGGAGAAATAATAGTTTTAAAGGCGAATAAAAGGTGACAATTAATTATTTTCAATTTGGTATGAATTAAAAGAGGCTTAGAAATAAAAGTTACACAGGGATAGAACATCCATTTCTTCCTGCATATTTGTTGAACAATAGGCTCCTGCTGGGTTGATTCGCTCATTGACAGAGACCCTTCCCTGTTACTGATCTTTTCTGACCAGTCATCTAATTTAAAGTGGTATTGAGTGGAGACACTGGTTGATTGATGAAGGTTTGTAGTTTGTTTGAAGTGCTCTTCATGACGCGGCGCCAAGTCTCTGATCTATAATACCTTAACCTTATTTCTTTCATTCCAGAGATGAGTATGTGTACAGAGCCAACAAAAAAACTAAGTCGAAATAATACTATCTCTTCAGTTGCTGAAACAACAAAGCAACCGGTATCTCCAACACAATTACATCCAATTTTGGCGCGTCAACTTATTGAAGGCTGCCAACTACAAAATTATCATTCACAACAGTCTTCTTCTTCTAATATACCCTTAAGTGTACAATCAACCAATACTGTGAGTAGTTCTGTCACGGTGAATGTTAATCTTCAACCTCAAAATCAATCTACACCATTATCATCTAGTCAAATTATTCCAGGTGGTTCATATGAGATTATTCTATTGGCAGATGTTCGTGAGAATTTTGGGTATGTTTAAAGTTAGTTATTTGATAAATTTTGATTAACCATTTAATTATCATTCTAGCTATCAAGTCTAGCTATTATCATTGATGAAAGAGATTGACTTTCTAGCTTAGTTTCTAGCAGACATCAAAATCCACCTTGAATCTTTGGCTCTAAACCAATTCTTTCGACATTCAACTCCACCATATTGATAACAGCACATTCATCCAAATGACTATGAATGACATCCTTTTGAGATCCGTTAACGGCCTTAATCCTGTTTCTTAACCTTCCCTAAAAGTGTGTTTCCCTTTAATGGGATCGACAATATCATTAGAATGGTTCACTCTGTGATGAATATATATCCAAGGGATGATAAGGAGTTATAAGCTTTCCACTCACTCATCTGTGTGTATTATACATCCCTGTTTCACCAATCGAGTGATAATTAGGTACAAAGGTAGTCGACTTTTTGTCTGCTATTTTCTCTGAACGAATCATTTCTGTAAGGAGGAGGTGTCATATAAGCCGATCACCCAACACACATTGCTGGTTCACTCACAACCACAGTTGTAGTTTGTCTTCAATAAGACAGTTTTGTCCACGTGTACGACGACACCTGCTCTTCCGAATAATGAACTAATTCTCTCGATTTTCCATGACGTGATGTCTCTGTATTGCTCGTACCTCTAAACTGTTGATACGAGGCTTTCTTCAGTTGAAATCAGTAGCTGCACCTCTCACGGGCTGTTTTAAAAACCAGTAATTACAAATTATTTAAATTAATCGCAGCGTGTTTAAGAAAATCAAAACAAGATCTGTTTTCTGAACGTTTCGCTGTGTAAACGCCACAGCTTTTTCACCAGATTTATTCGGATTTTTATTAATCATCAAAATATATAGTCAAAAATGTTTACATAAACTGAAGTCAATTTATATGAAGGTCATTTGTCCATGGACATTTTTTACCAGTAGAAATATGCAAGCAGTCATCACACATATTTGTAATGACTAATGTCAAATTGTTGTGGTGTTCACTGTTCTATAGTTGATTTGTAAAGATCAGTTTGTATGAGTGTGTATGTTTGTATGTTATTTGTCATATGGAAAATACATGAATTCATATGTGATAAACATGATAATACGTTTACTTAAAGGTCATGGAGGCTCATAGAGTGTTTATTGTTTTTTCATTTGTCTTGCTCCATAAGATTTTGCCATATAGGTGATAAGTCTATACCTTCTTTCCTATTCACTGCATTCAATGTGGTTAAAATGTGCAAGGCTCCAGAAGTCAATCTTTCTTTATGTGAATGAAATCCTTTTCCAAGAATTTCGACATTGTCGAAATCGATCTAATGTCCACTGTCTATCATTATAATTTATAATGAATCAGTCTTATTCGGCGTTCATATTATTCCAGGAAGTTCGTAACACCTACGGTCTGGAAACTTATAAGTCATTACAAATATACAAATTCTGGATTTAGGACAGATGGGACCTGGCAAAAAAATGTTCCTATGAATTTACTAGAGTCAGCAGCTCACGCTCTCTGAAACTAAGTCGTTGCAAACAGATTGCACAACTTTGGATGTATCCACGAATTGACATATTTAGGCTATTTATACTCATGATACCCTTTCCTAAGCAACCCCACATCCTAGCATTACTGCAAAACCTTATCCTCACGAAACTTCAAGAGTAGCTGCGTTAAAGCAGGCATTTGACTCGAATCAAGCGGGAATAGAACCTTTTACTCACGTGGATGAAACTCATTGCATCGTTCAAGATCATTCGCTGATTGGTCGTAGTTAGTGGTGCTTAAAGTTTAACTTGGTCAAGTTTTTAATTCTCACTTTCCCTCTTTTTTGTTTCTTCTTTTTTTCTGCTTACCTTATCATACAAAATATATGCATATAGATCGAATAAAGTGAGACAAATGCTTCCAACTGTATTTCAAAAGTATAATATCAAATGTGAATCAAGAGCTCTACCTGTTGGTGATTTTCTATGGGTTGCACGCTGGAGAGATGAATCAGGTGATTGTTGTTTCTGTGTACGCTTTGATTAATTTAAAGAATTTAGCTTCATATAGTGTGTGGGTCATGAGTTCAGTTTTCATTGAATCTACTGACGTTTTCAGTCTGTGGCAACAGTAAAGAATAGACACCAAAGTTAAGTGGCCTTGAATCTACCAAATGTATTCTTCTAGGTGGAAAGTGGCATTTATTTTAAAAAAATAAATTTATTTCTAAGATGTATATCTAAGAGAACTGATTTACACAGGGAATAATCGCTAAGGGGTCCAAGTTTCTCATAACAGTGTGTGTAGACAAATTAGACCAATGTTGATGCAAAAAATCTAAGTGGCTGTACACATCTTATCATATAGGGAACCATCTACCATTCCAATACGTCTTTTTCCATGGACCTAGAATCCTTCAATGGAATTTGCTCCACTCATATTGTGGTGAGAGCAGGCCGTGAGAAAATATGAGCAAGACTGATTCAACAACCAATCACAGCGAAGTTAACGTGGCAAAATATGATTCGCAGATAGAGAACTCTATTTGTCGAGGAATCCCGGAACAACCAATCAGAAGCCTGCGTTTGTCTGCCTAACTTCTGATAAACAACCAATCAGATGACTGAGCTTGTCTACTTGCATAAGCTATTATAATGTATGTGAAATATGTATAAATACGTGTTGATTTCATAATAAAACGATCTGTTGCCTGGCCCTTGTCTTTTATTGTTACAATATAACTTACTAATTCAGAATTATGATTAACTTTGTGATAATTATAGTTTAATGACGATAGTTGAGAATAACCTTTCCACTTGCGTGTATGAATAGTAGTACCTAGGAGGACTAATCGTTGTACCATCGGTATTAAAATATCTGGGTGAAACCTGTAACAAAGATTATGAGCAACATCCAGATTCAGAGTATATGGAAAGAAGGCTCTTGTTGCCTATGTTAATCATTGCGATATATCTCTGCAGAGACCTAGTTTCTCTTTGAAAGCGTTCACCGGTGGATCTGTTACTACTGAATCAGGTTGGGGAGTTCCAGTCGTTGACCGCTCCGTGAGAGAATCTAAATTCCACACGTATTTTATTAGACCTTCGTTTGAGCACCTTTCTGTGGTGACCTCGTAAATGTATCTTACATGGAGAGAAAAGGTTTGAAAAGTCAATCCCTACATACGAAGCCATTTTATTGGTTGATTCAAGACCATTTGACTTTGGTGACTATTCATTACTGTCGCCCAGTCTGTTAATAATATCATCAATTATTAAAAGCGAATTTAGTTTGTTAATGGAATCTAACAGTCTGAATATGACTCCATTATAGATAGGATTTTATTTTTATAAATCACTCAGTGTTATACAGTAATATTAACTGGTGACGACGTTTCGAGCACTGTAACAAGGGCCAGGCAACAGATCGTTTATCAAAGAAATCAACATATAGATTTTCATGTACATTATTATAGATTATTGCTGTTGTTTCTCACTGAAAGTTAACCTTTCATCTCTTTTATGGCTGTTTCTTCAATGTCAGATCATCTATGTGCTAACTGTATCCACCTACGCGGTGTTTTCTGTGGTTGGTTGTTGAATCAGTCTTTGTTCGTATGTTTCTCACGACCAATATTTGGGACGTAAAGATTGACGTGAATTATTGGCTAGCTAGCAGCCAGCTCTCACCATAATACTACTGGCATGGTGAAATAAAAGAGTGAGTCGGCCGGGAACGGAACCCTGAACCACTTGCATGTCTGGCGAGAATTCTACCGCTGTGCCACAGACGCATAGAAGTAATATTAGTGTTATCAATGAAGTACAATCAGATGGGAAATAAGATGTTTTCATAGTGAAGTAAATAATTCGTTTGTCAGAAAGTTATAATGTGAACAGAATACATTTTAACATTATTTACTATCCTCCTCTGATTTGACTGGTGGTAATAATATCTTCCATACATATCTCTGATATTTGCGTTGATTCACTTCTATCGCTTGTGTTGTGTTGGATGTAGACTGGATGAACCGGGCAGGATTCAGTAATCAATCTCTCTCTCTCTCTCCACCTACCTACCTACCTACCTATATCACTCTTTAGAATTTTGGACTCTGTCCAACCTACCCTATTGTGTGGTTGTGTGTTAATGCATGCAGTGCAATGTAGTGCTGTTTTTATCAAAATTTCTTATCTTCGTGGGATAAGTCATTCTAACTATAAATACCTTATATTCTCTCTTATTTATTTTATCATTATTAGTTTCACCATCTGACTGTACTTCATTGATAACACTAATATTACTCCTATGTGTCTATGGAACACAGGTAGAATTCTCGCCAGACATGCAGGTGGTTCGAGGTTCAATCCCCGGTCACTGACAAACTCCTTTACCTCACTATGCCAATAGTATGACTGGTAACAAGGGAAAATTGGTGGCATAAGGCTAGTAACCCTAACCCATAAAAATAATAAACACCACTGCTACTGTGGAACTTCAAACCACTAGCCTGAAGCCCTATGTTCCACCGGGAACGTAAAGGAATAAAAAAAGTATTATGTCTGAATGTACTATATCTTATATCGATTTTATTCAAATGTCTATGCATCGATTTCACTCATGTATGCAAATGAAGAACTGGCGTGGAATTATGCTCCTGTCCATCCCAAGCAAAATACTAAGCCACATCATCCTGGAGAGAATCAAACAAGCCCTGGATGAAAAACTCCGACTGGAACAGACTGGATTCAGGAGAAACAAGTCATGTATTGATCAAATCGCCACTCTACGGATCATCACTGAACACAGCTTGGAATGGCAGTCACCTCTCTACCTCACTCAACTTCATAAACTTTGAAAAGGCCTTCGACAGCGCAACGTCGTTCGAGAGGTGATTTGGCAACCACTTCGCTACTATGGGGTGCAACCGACAATTATACATCTCATCCAACAGTTGTACGGCAATGCTGTATCCCAAATAATCCACAATGGGAAACTTACGGAATCCTTCGGAGAAGTGAAGAGGGGGGTAAGACAAGCTGGCTGGCTGCCTACTATCGCCAATGATCTTCCTGATTGCAGTAAATTGGATAATGCGACAGACAGCGGCGAGCAGCGGGGAAACAGGCATAAAATAGACTCATACAAAAAATTTGGAGGATGTGGACTTCGCCGATGATATATGTCTGATTCCCCACAAACTGGAAGATATGCAAGTGAAAAGTAACAAGTTGGCGATAGAAGAAGCATCCAGAGAATGTACGACTTCAAATGGACATAGAGAAAAGAGAGGTGGTGAAGATTCCTGGTCAACAGTGACACAAACAATAACAGACAACAATCAGCCAGCATAAGTGGGAGAGATCTGAAAGAAGCATTATGAGGGGCAATAATTTGTGCTCGAAACGTCGTCACCAGTTAATATTACTGTATAACACCACTGTGTAGTTTATCAAAATAAATCTTATCCATAATGAAGTCAACCTTTACCACAGTTTCTATGTTTTATACTTATAACCTGAATATGGATGTTAAGTCACATATGACTTCTGTTAGATCTCCTATATTTCATTTATCTTTATCATATGTATTTGATCAAGAAGATCAGAATTTTACACTAACCATTATCGAACTCCTCTCTTTCCTCTAGTTCTTTTTTTATCTGTGTGCCTTTACATCGACTTTGTGCACCCTTTATTTTGAGGAGTAACTTATATTGAATTTAGGCGTAGTGTTAGATAAGGAAAGTAAGTTAGTGAATGAGGTTGTAAGGCTACATCAATTACTTTGTCTGGAGCACGCGTTACTCATGCCGGGCCACGGTCTTTCTCAACAAAAACAGTGTTAGCTGGAATAGGATTAGGTTGGGAAAGACTTAGAAATGATCAGAGTGATAGTTGGTTTGAGCCAGTCAGCCACCCAGGGAGAAGTAGACATAATATTTGGTTGGGGTCCTCTAGATGTTAAGAGCCAATAGCTTGGAACGGTTGGTGATATTGTAGTGAAAGCTGGCTGCTATCTAGCCAAAATTGCTAGACAGTAATTTACGTCAATGTTCAAGTCCCCACTATTGGCTGATTCAATAAACAACCATACAAGGCTTTGCGTAGGTGGATACAGTTAGCATATAGATGATCTGACATTCAAAAAACAACCATAAAGAGATGAAAGATTAACGTTCAGCGAGAAACCACCAATCGGAAGACTGTGTTTGTTTGTTTAAACTAATCTATAATAATGTAGATGAAAATCTATAAATATGTGTTGTTTTCCTAAATAAACGATCTGTTGCCTGACCCTTATCTTCTGTCATTACAATATGACTCAAAATGTTGTCAATGGCGCAGGTGGATTAAGTCCTCGTGTTTCCGCATGTAATTATTCTTTCTTTCTCCAAGTATCTATCAACAGGCTATTGGAGATTTTCTGCCACCCTGTCATTTCACTGGATCGATATCGAAGATCAGATTTTCAGCCGGAAAGGATGTGCAAAAAGTAACTTTAGCAATGAAGCAACCACCACCACCAACAACAGTAATCTGTTAGCCGAAAAATACACCGGACAAAGTTAAACTTTTAGCACCACTAGCGACCAATCAGCCAACGACCTTGAACGGACCAATCACATTATAGAGGCATTTATGATAAATGGAAACGTATATTCACCGAAAAAAGCATAAAACTGTTACAGTGGGTAACTTTCCTTAACATGTGAGAGAAACATCTCCCAGTTTAGCATCGAACTATCAATAGAAAAGTTACACCACATTCTGTACATATATTCATCTAAATGACTATAAATGAGATCCATTTATAGCCCTCATCCTATTTTTCAACCTGCACCAAAATCCTTCAATAGAATTTGTATGTATCCTCGTAACGAGATCAACAAAATCGCTTGAATGATTGACTCTATGATGAATATATCCCAGAGATGACAGGGAATTGTAACTTTTGCATTCGTCTGTGTGTATTATTGATCTCCGTTTTACAAGTCTGGTGATAATAGGTATTAAAGTATTTGCTTTTCTGTCTGCTATCCTTTCAACGGATCCCTTTCAGAGAGAGGTGTCATACAAACCTATTATCCAAATATTGTTCGCTCGCTGCCGGTCACGGTTGTATTTCTTTTTCACCAACATAGTTTCATCGACGTGCACAACAACGTCTTCTCCACCCAACAACGAAGTGATTTTCTCCATTTTCCATGAAACAATATCTCTGCAATGCTGATACCATTGGATTGTTGAGACGAGGCTATTCTCAGTCTCAGCAGCTGCAGCTCTCACTCGCTGTTTCAAGACCCAGTAGTTTCAGATATACAAAATTTGCTTTAAGGAGAGGTGTGACCTTGCAAAACGTTTCCTACGAAGTATTAAAATTATCAGCTAACCCTCTCTAATGCTAACTCGCTTCAAACATATTGCACAACGATGGACAAATCCATCAGTTCATTTGCTAAAGCTTTGTAAATTCATGACACCACCACCACACGAACAAGTTCTCTCCTTCCGAAGCAACCCTAAATCCAGGCATTACTGGAAAACACTATCCTCCTCAATTCGCAATCGTAACCTTGTTAAGGCACGCATTTGAAATGAATCAAGCGCTATACAACATTGAACTAGCGTTCGTGAATCTCATTGGATAATTCGACGTCGTTCGCTGATTGGTAGTTAGTGGCGCTTAAAGTTTAACTTGGCTATACACAGAAATTTAATGGAAGTGTGTTTGCCACTAACTGAGTAGAGATTATCACATGAAATCACAGCAAATAGGCTCTTGAATGTAACCCGAACACGAAGCGACGGGTTAGGCGTTGGTTCGAGGGTTACATGGAAGCAGTCGTATGGTGAGAAAATAAAGGCTTACTACTGCAGTGATGGTGTCCTGTCAAAAGTAATGACAGTGAGTTGAGTGCAATGAAGATGTTCCGCTGAGGCCTTATTTTTTTTAATGGTAACCCTATGGGGTTTGTGGTTCACATAAAGTTATGTAATCTTCTTTTCTAATTGATTTGTTTGTCAACTTTGTATGTATGTATTTTTTCTAAAGATTCATTAATGGAAGCTGTACTGGATCAGATTGTTGAACGTAAAAGAATGGATGATTTAGCTCATAGTATTGTTGATGGACGATTTACAGAACAAAAGGTGAGCGCACACATGTCTGTTTATGTATACGTCCTTGTTTTTTTAACTAGTCCCGCTTTCTATTTTCAAGATTCACTTTGTAGGGATTTGATATGTTTCAAGTTGGATCGCAGATTGATTCGAACTAGAAGACGGAGGAGTACTGAACAGCTGTCTCGTCCTAGTTTGGGGTTCTTCAGCAGCAGCACTCACGCATGACCTTTCTGGACTCAGAACCTGCAGCTGACAAGGCAAAACTCGTCGACCATTCAACTGCTGGATATGGGACCCACTGGCCCATGAATTCTAACTTTTGTCTATTCGCGATTTTATTGCGACCGTCAGATAGTGTCATCGACGAGTATTTGTCCTCACACTCGACCTGGTGGGGTCCACACTGGTTACGACTGCTCCTCAGAGCTCTAGACAACTTTCTCCTGTAGTTAGGCAATAATAAACGCCAGAATAATTTTCAAGTGTTAGTTTGTAGGGATTTGTGTATCTTATCAACAATCACACTTTATAAGAGAAAGGAGGATTGAGTAACTAAAGCGTGTTACTCACTCAACCATCATCGCTTATCCACTTTACTCATGTCATGCTTCTAGCTTTTTCGTTTCGTTCAGGCTAAATTCTTTCAGTGAAGTTTTGCGATTCGGCCACCATTTTAGGCGGTTCACTATCATGATGGACTCTGAATTGTCATTGGATGGTTGGAGAAAATCTGCAGGAAGTTTTTCAACTGGACTTCTTGCTTGTTGGCACTCATCAGTCCCCAATGTGTGTATCTGCACTCTTGAAGGAACTCATGTCCCACCTTCCTAGATCTGAGCACGTGTCAGCCATCACCACAATCAGAGCTATTTGGACTCGTGACAGACCTCCTGTAGGATTGTAATAGATACTGGATAGTGGTTATGTATCGAATAAAACAGTCGTTACCATTTCAAAATTTGATGTTAGTTTCCATGACAACATTATTATTATTGTTCCCTTGGGTTCCTAGTGGAACATAGGGCTTCAACTGCACGTCTCCACTTGCCACTTCTGTCTTCTCCTGTACTTTTCACCTGAATCCATCCATGTTAGTCCATACTGTTTCAACCAATTCCTCTTCAAACGATCTCCTCCATGTCACCCTTGCATTGATGACCAACTCGCTGCTTGCCTTTCGGCCTGGTTCCACTCGAAAAATGGCCTGATGCGCGCGCGATGTCACCCAGCGGCGGCCTGCTCAGCGAGTGTCCAATCCATCCAACTCCACTTTCTCCTGCATATTTGCTGTTATTGGGCGATTGGTCTGTTCTTGTTTTGTTTGTTTGTTCCCATAGTTTCTTGTTGGTGATTCTTCCCGACCCGGCCATCTGATCTTCAGTATAGATCCAGTGAAGACAGTTGCTGGCTGATAAAGGTCTGCAACAAGCTGTTGGAAATATTCTTTGTGACCCGCCCGCCAAGTCTCTCATCCGTATAGAAGAACTGACTGACTTGACGTTTGTATTGAGAATCCGAGTGAATTTTGTGGTTGATGCTGGCTGTGTGAGGAAGATTCCCAGATTGGTTTCAGGTTGATGATGAATGTGTTTCTCGCTGGCCTTTCCGATTCTCGCTCGATTTGACATCCTCGTTCGTTCCGACTTCCTGTAGTTGAGACAATGCTCAATGATAGATAAGTGAATGAATGAAGCAACCTCTTTCAAATCCCTCCCGTTGATGGTGATTGGTGCTGGATGTTGCTGTTGTTGTTGTTGGTGGTTGTTTTCATAACCTTCTTCTTGTCTATGTTCACTTGGAGTCCTGTCTTCTCTGGCTGCTTCTTCGACCAGTTTTTCGGTTTTCACTTGTCAGTCTTCGATTTTGTGTGACATCAAACATAAATGATCCACGCGCGAAATCCAGGTCTTCTAGGTTCTTCACGTCCGTCCAGGATATTCCTGTCTTCTCGTTTCCCACTGTCTGACGCATAATCCAGTCAGTCCACCACAATCAGGAATATCACTGGTGATAATAGGCAGGCACCCTTGTCTGATTCTTGTGTTTACTCCAAACGCCTCGCTGAGTTTTCCGTTGTGGATCACTTGACATGTGCCGTTGTCGTACAGTTGTTGAATAAGTTTGATGAATATTTGGGGCACTGTGCGCTGTAGTACTCGAGTATTTTTCGAATTACTTCGCGATCAACGCTGTCGAAGACCTTCTCGAAGTCTATAAAGTTGAGGTAGAGGTTAGATTGCCATTCCATGCTTTGTTCTGTGATGATGATGCATGGAGTTGCAACATTAGATTAGTACATTTCACTGTTTATGTGTTTTTAGTACTCTTGCTCAATAAAGCTCTTCATTAAGAACCCAAATTTCACTGTAAAATTTGTCATGCACTGCAACCATTTAGAGAATCCTTGAAAACTAGAGAGCATAGGGCAGCTGTCTCGTCTTGGTTTGTGACTCTTCACTGATGACCTGACAAAGAATCGGACCCCAGGTGGCGAGGCGGGTTCGTTGAGTATTCATAGTAATTAGATTGGAATATGAGGACCCATAAATTCTAACTTCAAGCAATTTGCTATATAGTGGTACTTCCAGCTAGTTTCATCTACAGACATTCATTGAAAGGCCCACACCGCGAACCCCACTGATCACGACATCTCGTTAGTCAGAAATCTACATTTCAATCCTCCACTATGTTAAATTTGATCAACCTTGAACCTATCCGTTCCAGTGCTTCAATTATGACTCTTCTTCTTGCGAGTTGATCATGGATTGTTATCAGTTAGAGAACCATTGAAAACCAGCAGTGGAGTACTGTACAGCTGTTTTATCCTAGTTAGGGAATCAACGACAGTACGTCCCCACTGACAGGGTTGGAACCCCCAAGACCTTCTGGTTGCAAGGCAAGCTGTCTCGTATACCATTCAGCCACTGGGACCCGATCCAGCGGCCAGCCAGCCTATGAATTCTACATTCTACCAATTCTTGATTTAGAGCGACCACCACCCAATGTCATCCCTGGGACATCCATCTTCACACTTGACTGGACGATTCCCAAACTAGGATGAAACATCTGTCTGGCAGTACTCCACTGCTGGTTTTTAATGGTTCTCTAATTGATAACAATCCATGATCAACTCAGAAAAACGAATCTAATCCTTACAAACCAACAATTTGAAGAATCTTCTTTTATCACGAATACCTTACCACAGGAAAGCCAAAGTGATTTCCCTGATAACTAGTTATCACGCAGGCTGTTTTATCAATATGAAACTTATATCAGTCAATTCAAAAAGTGTTATTCAAGGGGAAAGTTTATCTCAGAAACAAAAGAGGGGATGCATGATATTAGTTATTTATTACCCAGTGTGTCAAATCAGAATAGAAATGATCAAAATTATGAGTGATTTGTAAGGTAAGAAGACCAATAATTTACACAACCCTTGGTAATATAATCGGGTAAGGATTATCATAATGAACCGAGTCCAGTTCCCGGTATACACACTCCTAAACGCTGACTAGTTTCTAGCCGACAGTAAACCCCGGGAAAGATGTAAGGTTAGACTTGAGACTAGCAGCTCTACCCATTTAATAAAAAGCGACACCGCCGTAGCTGCTACTGGAAAAAGTTTGAAGCCTTAGATTCCACTCAAAGAATAAAGAAAATCTTCCAGTGGTGAAAAAGGACATATTTTCCTTCTGGGATGTTTACAATAATTATTGGAGAAATTGAGACTTCCATGTGTTGTTGTTGCTATTGTCACTGTTACACAATGAACATTTGCACTAACATCCAGTTGGTAACAAGTCACTCCTATTGTATGATGCTGGGTTCGAATTCTTAACCAAGCAGTTGCAAGCTGGGCATATAAACCATTAGATCGCAGTTCCAAAGCTTTTAAATGAATATTATTGTAACCAGAGAACACAATAATCTTAAGTGGCGAGATTATTGTTTAGCAAAATGATTTACAGTTATGTCAAAATGCATGAATTTACATTGAAATCTTCGTTTTGTGCTACCATGGTCTTCCTTTCATGCTTTCTATGTACGGTTTCACAAGAATCTTTCATTTTTCTTATTCTTAATTTAATCTATCTCTCCTCCGTTCAGTATTCTTTTAAAAGTCATCAAGAACAAAATATACTACTCACAAAATCTTGTTAGTAACATTATTATTATTATTGTTTCCTTTTAGTTCGTAGAGGAACATAGAGCTTCAGCCGCGCCTCTCCATTGCATTCGGTTCTCCGCCAACGTTTTCACCCGGCTCCACGTCTGCCCACATGCTTTAATCTCCTTTTCACATCACCTCCTCCACTCGATGTCATCCCACCCTCTCACTGTCGACCAACTCCCCGCTTCCCATTCGATAGGGTTCCACTCGAGTGATTGCCTGGCGTGTGATGTCACTCACTTGATGGTTAGCTTTCTCAAAGTATGGCCAATCCAATCCACCTCCATTTCTTCCTGCATATGTGTTGAATAATTGGTTCCTTCTGGGTTTGTTCGCTCATTGACAGAGACCCCTCCCTGTTCCTGATCTTTTCTGGCTGGCTATCTGATCTTGAGGGAAGTATTGAGCGAAGACAGCTGTTGATTGATTGATTGACTGATGAAGGTGTGTAGTCAGTTCGAAATACCCTTCGTGACGTGGCGTGGCGCCAAGTCTCTGATCCATTCGTATAGTGAGTAGCACTGACTGACTTCACGTTGGAGTTGAAAATCTGGATCTTATTTTGATTTTCATGTTGAGTGGTGCGATGGACCTCCACACAGATTCGAGAGTTATGAAAGCTTGTCTTCTTCCAGTTTGTGGGGCATCAGACATATATAATCGGAGAAACTGAGATCTCCCCAGTTTTTTCTGTTAATGGCATGCACCACAGTATTAGTCTAAGTTTATGTTGTTGTTTTCATATCTGGAAAGCATCGTTTCAACTACAGGTGGAACTGGCGAGGATATCAAAGCAAGGATCGGGAAAGCAAGACAAGCTGCCATCACTCTCAAGTATGTATGGAGATCAACAGCACTTAACATGAAAAATAGCATCCGGATTTTCAACTCCAATGTGAAGTCAGTGCTACTATACGGATCAGAGACTTGGTGCGTCATGATAAGCACCTCAAACAAACTACACACCTTCATCAACAGCTGTCTTCGCTCAATACACAAGATCAGATGGCCGGCCAGAAAAGATCAGCAACTAGAATCTCTGGCAATGAGCGAACTAACTCAGCAGGAATCGAATGTGCAACAAATAAGCAGGAAGAAATGGAGGTGGATTGTATCGACCATACTCTGAGGAAACCATCAAGTGACATCACTAGAGAAGCCCTCGAGTGGAACCCGAAAGGGAAGTGGTAAGTCGGTCGTCCAAAGGTGACTTGGAGGAGGAGCATGAGGGCAGACGTGGAAACGTTGACTGAAAACTGAACGCATTGAAGATGTGCGGCTGAAGCCCTATGTTCCTCTAGGAACTAAAGGAATGATTATGTTGTAGCTGCGTTAATCTCATGCCAAACATTTGCTGTATACAATTTCGATAGAATATTCTTGTCTTTTTTTTCTCGCGATTTTCATTTTACAGTATCGTTTAAAGCGTACAGGCCTATTACAACCGATTTATTTGATTGAAGAGTGTTCAACAATGCATAATCAAAAAGTTGCTTATGATGTTTTAATTCAAGCAATATCAAATACACAAGTAAGTTTATTGCCTAATTAATTATACGTTGAAGTAGGCATGACATGGCCTTGTCGTCATTTTAGATGTGAGCAGTTTCAAATAGTAAGCTAATAGTCTTTAATCTGTTACCTATGCATGGTGTTCTCTTCATTGACTTCTACTCTAACGAGATGGGACGTGAAATGGTAGAGCGTGTTGACCACATCATAGATATACTGATAGGTTGAAGCTTAACTGACTTCAGCGAATTGGAAATTAATTTTTTACCCGAGAATAATCTTTTTGACTTTAAATATGCGGATGATATAGTCCTCCCTCCAAGGTGAAAACACTGATAAAATGTAGTCTTCTGAACACCTTAAGCTGTACAGCAATCTTCGAATGTTCGACATGCGATATGCTCTCGTCAAATGTAAAATAATGTTGCAGGAACCGGACTATATTGAGTCACTCCTAGCTTAAAGATAGGCAGGAGTTAAGTGGTAGAGCATGCTGACCACCACTTCACTTATTTAGTAAATTGCATCAACCCTGATGAACTGATTAGTGACTATACAAAAAGCTGGTGTGGCATTTACTAACTTATATCTAGTAGAGACGTGGTATCTGGAAGCCAATCAAAGAACGTGTTTACGACGCACCACTTCGTTCTGTCTCCTTACGGCTGTTAGACACTGCTACTGAAAGTAAAGAACCTGAATGGTCCTGTTACCGTTGATCCTGTTAAGTAATATAATGACTGACTAACTTTCAAAAAATAGAACTTTGCACAGGTCAGCTGTTGACACCAGTTGATACCATCTATCTATCACACAAAGGAATAGAAAAAAGAGAAATTCAATAAAACTATAATTAGCAGAAATGTATGGAAAAAAGAATTTCTTCTCATAATTATTCTTTTCGGTTCCGAGTGAAACACACAGCTTCAACAATAGATCTCCACTTTGTTCTACTTGGTGCTGTCCCCTTCAGCTGGGTCCACAATTGCCTATAATCTCTCATCTCCTCCTGTATGTCAAACTCAGACGACCCACTAATCGCTTCCCATTCGGACCCCACTCGAGTGATGGCTTGTATTGCGCGCGATGTCATTTTAATGGCCTCCTCATTGGCGTATGCTTGATCCACCTTCATTTTCCTCTACATATTTGCTGAGCGATCGGCTGTTGGTTGACTTGTTCCCAACCACAGTTTCTTGTTGGTAATTCTTTCTGGCTATTTGATCTCCACTATGGAGCTAGGGAAGCGGGTCATCGCCTCCCTCGACGGGAAATGTTAGCTGACATAGGGTCAGGCTAGAAAAGAGCTAGCGGCGGTCAAACCAAAACATGGCTTTACCAGTCAATGAAATCCACAACAGTTAGTTTAAGCCAACTAGTCACGTAGGAAGTTGTAGACCGCCTGACTGGTTGGGGTCCTCGAAACGGTAAAAACCATTGAAGGCTGAAAACAATTGGGGATATGGCTCAAAGTGATCGTTCTCAATGGCTGACTCAGATTCATCCACTCCTTGTGACTTATGATTTCCAATGAAACTATATTGTTCTTCGTTATTACTTTTCCTTTGTCTCACACTTTTGTTTACTGTCTGTATTATGCATTTCTTCTACTTTCTTGTGTCGCTTTGTGTGCTACAAGGAGGGAATGTGGCGACTTGAACTGGTGCACATCGGTGGAAAGTTCTATGTTGAAAACAGACAGACAGACAGCGAAGCGGGTAGCTGTTGATGAAAGTCTGCAACAAGCTGTTGAAAATCTTTTTCATGACACGCACACAGTGCAAGTTTCTGACCTATATAGAAGCACCAACTGACTGACTTTATATTCGTGTTGAAAATCCTAATCTTGTTCTTTATGCTGAGGCGGAGTGCAGAAGATTTCCAAACCGATTTGAAGTCGGTGAAGGCGTATCTTGTCTTCCTCATTCTGGCTAGCTTTGACGTCTTCATCCTTGCTGTCGCCTGTAGTTGAAACTATGCTTCTTAGATAAAGGAAGTAAGTAACCTCTGTCAAATCTCTTCCGTTGGTGGTGACTGATGCTGGTTGTTGTTTTTGCGGTTCGTTGGCTTGTTATCTTCATCACCTGCATCTTCTCTATATCCACCTGAAGTCCTGTCTTCGCTGCGTCTTCAGCCTCTTTGTTGCTTATCACCTGTCAGTCTTCGAGTTTGTGCAACATTAAACAAAAAAATCAGTGTCCGAAATCCAGATCTTCTAGAAGCTTCTCATCGGTCATTGCAACGTATTCCTGTCTTCTCACTGCCTGTCCACAGTCTGACGTATAATCCAGCCAACCATAATTATAAGAATATCATCGGTGAATGGTAACACGGAAATACTTGAGAGTGTAATAGAAATTGGTATCACAAAGGGGAGAATACATCTGCGCGAATGACTATGATTTTGAATCATGTCACTAATCGATTCTAGACATCAGTTTATTTTAGCCTCTCGAGGAGGAGTTCTACACCTCCCCCTACCTGACTGGTGTGAACCAGCTTTCAACGACTTTTTTGGATTGATTCCAGATTTCCTGTCTAACCTTTTGTTAGCCAGCAGTCCTCATCGAAGAATACTAATAATGAGGATTTAACAATTGTGAATGATGAACAATCTCCAGCTGTGTTTTCGATTTCCCCCCATCCGTGCATAATATTGTGAGGAATACTAAGGTGAAGTGTAGAGTGTTTGGTATGAAGATTAAGTTAATCGAAACCGTTGGGAACCTACATACCAATAGAGTTGGCCGTTCTCTCTGTCTGAAACGTCCCGACCGAAAGCTGCTACCTTGACGTGATGGTCGGGCTTACACATCGCGATGACCCAACAAGCTACACTGGCTGGAACCAATGTTCCCCCAGGTCCTACTATGCCAAGAAGGTTGTTGGGATAGCGATTAGACTAAAAGCAGTTACTGGCATCCTGTAAGAATATTCCTTACAGTCTGCTGGGGGTCTGAGGGCGACGTCGTACTACTGGGGAACAGGGGTGTAGCAGCAGTGAGGTGTTTCCCTCAGATGACCAGCATGTCAGCCAGCTATCCTGTCTCTCCACTCCGGAGGGATGGGGTTATAAAAAGTTAACTTCGGAAATTGTACATCCTTACTTACCCTACGGTGGTCCGTAACCGGCGGTAAGTTTACTAATACGGAACCAATCCCAGAAACCAGTTCATACAGGCCTCAAGCAGTTGTCCTCTGGTCTCTGTGGTCATGCAACACTAACCCACTTTCTGTTTCAGGTATCTGAAGAATCAATCAACTTCCAGGTTGTGGGCAGCTTGGAAGTAGCAACCGCCCACACACTTCCAAAAGCACACGAAGCTTTCCTGAGCATCATTCCCCTTTACTCACATCACCTTCTTCATCTTGCTTCTCTACTACAGTTAGTACTATTCTTCAGGTTAGTGAGACACCTTCATTTCACTCTGTGATCACAAAGCCATCGAAACATCCCAGATAGCCTTTTAAAGCCACGTCGCCGACTTCATATAGGAGCATTTAACGTCAAGACCCTCTGCGAAATCGGACAATAGGCATCACTAGCAAGAACTCTGAAACGTTAATATTTTTTAAAATTTTTGCTCGTTTAATATTGCCATTCATCTTTTGCTGAAGTAATCAAACGAAATTCTTTCCTTTTTATTATAGGTGATTGATGGCTTTCAAGTTATGACAAGTAGAGGTCCTGAAGATACGGTTGACCTATTAGCCATGCTTTCACGTAGATTACAATCACGTGGTTCAGTAAGTTATCTAATCTTTTTGGTGTATATATTGTTTAATAATAATAATAATATTGATCTTATCAATAATAAGGATGAAAAAGGGAGGCAAACTGTGATAACACGAATAATGAAAAACAGCTTGATTAAACAAGCAAATGTTCAGGTGGAAGTAGTCGATAAAGGCTAGTAAAAACAAATGAACCGATTGAGTAATGCTAGATTTTAAGGGAAGTAAAGGATACAGGATGATAAGAAAGGGGTTAAGGGTATAAACAAGGGGTGGTGTAGAAGTCATTAGTTGGTTATGTCTTAATAGGTCAAGCGAGGGAGGGTTAATGGCTGTACCAACTCCTTTTGAATGAGCATAGTTTAGGTTCAATAGTTCGAATGCCTATCGCCTGCCTCAGCTGTGTGCGTGCAGTAGATGAATACGAAGTCTATTGGAAATATTCGGTGGGATACGAAGAATTACTTTGGAAGCTCTTCTTTTCTCCACTACATGACCACTATCAATTGAATGTGACAAAATTGAGCTATGGATTATTTTTGTCTATCCTTTGCCAAACCACGATGATGGCAGATGTTCACTAACACGTTGGCTGGCTAAGCTGTCTAGTAGTAGTGTGTCCATCATAACTGTCACAGCAAGTGCAATTGAATTGATAAATGCACATAGATGGGACAAAACTATCTAGCTATCTATCCTTCGTTTGCGTCCCAGTTATTCGTCGGCTAGAGAATTACAAGCGCATATGTGTGCTGCGTAAAATGTTCTTCGTATACTCCTTGAAAGTCTTTGGAATAAAATCTCACTTGATAAGTCACCATTAAATTGTAACTTGATAAATAGAGTGTTAAAGCTTGAAGAGTTCAGAACCAGTCAATTAAACGGAATCTGCCAGTAGTCCTCAATCTGATTCATTCTTCAGCTAACAAGTGAACATCTAAGCCCAGAGGATAACCCATATCCCAATTGCCTTGGTTACTGAAGATTTCAACGGCGAGTTGGTCGTCATTGAGAAGGTGGGTTGAAATGGAGTGGAGGAGGTGTTGTGAAGAGGAGATGAAAGGATGTGGGCAGACGCGGATCCAGGCGGAAACGTTGACAGAGAACTGAACGCAATGGAGACGTGCAGGTGAAGCCCTAATTTCCTATAGGAACTGCCCTATTCAGCCAGTTAACCTGGGCTTCTAGTGGGAAGCTGTGACCATTAGGGTACAGCAGGTCGAAGATGAGGCAGTAATTCATCGAAGAAGACATTGTGAAGTGGTCGCGCTATGTCGTTAATTGGCAGAAGTTAGAATTGAGGGACCATTGGGTCGGGTCCCAGTGGCTCAATGGTCTACGAGGTCGCCCTGTAACCAGAGGGTCCTGGGTTCGTACTGCTGAAGAGTCTCAAACTAGGAGGAAACAGCTGTCCAGTACTCCCATGTTTTCCAGGAGTTCTCTAAACGATGTCAGCTCATGGTGGAATCCTCCATACAATCGAACAAAATCCCTACAAAAGCAATACTTGAAAATGATATAATCTTCCGGCTTTATTGGATTTATCTTCCCTTCTGTTGCCTTATGTTATACTAAAGACGTTCATTATGATTACCATTCACTTGGGTTCCAAGTCTGTCTGTCTCTGTCTGGATTCAACATAGAACTTGGCACCGAAGTGCAGCAGTTCGAGTTGCCACGTTCCAAATAGCACACAGAGGTAGACAAGAAGATGAGTGAAGAGAATTAATAGAGTTTGACAAATATAAGAGTGAAACAGAATGGGTAATGGTAGAAAGGAATATGAAAGATTACAGAGACTGAATACATCTGCGCTGCCATTGACAACGATTTTGAGCCATGTCACCTATTGTCTCCAGCCATTGATTCCTAGAGTCCCGAGGGCCCCAACCCGGGAGTCTGCATCTCCCTACCTGACTCAGTTTAACTGTCAAGGATTTCATGGATTGATGCCATGTTTTTGTTTGGCCACCACTGGCTCTTTTCCAACCTGAACCTATATCAGCTAGCAATGCCCGTCGGGGGAGGCGGTGGTTAGGCATGCGCACCACGTGACCTAGCCATCTTAGTCTATGTAACTTTATAGCCTCGTCGATTGATTTTCCCTCTTTGCCCAACACTCTACGCCTAACGTCAACATTACTTACCTTATTAAACCACCTAACGTGAGACAGAGATCGCAGACATCTATGATCGAAAGCAGTCAACCTTTTCATGTCTTCAACGCGTATTGGCCATGTTTCAGAGCCATAGAGAAGGACGGAGCGAACTGATGAGCAGTACACACGTCCCTTGGTTGATAACCGGATGTCACGCCTACGCCAGAGATGGTGTAAGTCAGCGAAAGCAGCTCGAGCTTTTCGGATCCGTGCTGAGATTTCATCGCCAATCAGTCCGTTGGTGCTAATACAACTTCCCAAGTAGGTGAAGTGGTCAACATGTTCTATCACTTCACTCCCTATCACTAAGTTAGGGGTTGACGTGGTCCAGTCCTGTAGCAGCATCTTACATTTTGCAGGGGCGAATCGCATGCCAAACATACGAAGATTGCTGCTCAAGGTGTTCAGAAGACTCTGCATTTTGTCAGCATCCTCCCCTAACAGGACTATGTCATCTGCATATTCTAAGTCCATAAGATTATTCCCTGGTAACAAGTCGATTCCTAAGTCATTACGTTCAGTTAAGGATACTTCCATTAGCATATCTATGATGAAGTTAAACAGAAATGGGGAAAGTGGACATCCCTGTCGGACACCACTGGTTGTTACCAATTCAGATGACAATTCCCCATAAGCCCTTACACGACTACGTGAGTTTGAATAGAGTGCCTTGATTAGTGCAATGTACTTTCTTGGCACTCCCTTCACAGTCAGACATTGCCATAGTACCTTTCGATCCACGGAGTCGAAGGCCGCCTTCAAGTCAAGAAATATGACAATTGTTGGACGCCGAAAAGTGTGTCTATGTTCTAGAATCTGTCGAAGAGTGAAGATATGATCTATGCACCCTCTACCTGGTCTAAAGCCTGCTTGATTTTCCCTTGTCTGTTCCTCCCGAGTTCTGCTTAGTCTATGCATGATTACTGAGCCTAGGATTTTAGAGACTATGTTCGTTAGGCTGATCCCCCTATGATTATCACACGAGGACTTGTTTCCCTTCTTGAATATCGGTATAATAAGTGACTTACCCCAGTCTGATGGTACTGTCTCTGATTCCCAGACTTTGCCTAGTACCTCAGTTAATCTACAAACTAGTATGTCACCCCCATATTTAAACACCTCCGGAATAATTCCGTCGGGTCCTGCCGCTTTGCCTCGTTTCAAATTACTGATAGCTTTTGTAACCTCACTACAGACGGCGGACCAGTGTCTATATCCCATTCGGGTGTGTGTGGATGGCGGGGAGGTTCAGTGTGGCTGTAGGCAAGTTAAATTTTCCCTCAAAGTGTTCTTTCCAGCGTTCAAGGCGTCTATCCTGAGAGCTAATTAAGGAGCCATTTTTCTCAGAAATAGTCTCACTTATGAATTGCCTTCTCCCACCCGATTCTGTGATGAGTCTAAAGAGTTGCCTAGTGTTGCCTATCGCCGATGCTTTTTCCATCTCTTTCGCCTTTGTCACCCACCACTGTTCACGGTCCTTGCGGAGACTTTTAGTAAGTTTCCTTTTGTGCAGCTTTCGCTCCTCATTGAATTCGGAGCTCGCCGGAATAAGTCTTCTAGCATCTATCAGTTCGGATGAGGCAGTCGAAATCCAGTGGTTTTTACTCACCTTTGGATTTGCCTTATTCACAGCTTTTACAGCTGTATCTATAGCTGACTGAATATTCTTCCAGGCTTCTCCAGGGTGAGCACAGCTGTCGAATTCAGATATGCGTTTAGCTAGTTCTTCCTCAAATAGGGATTTAGTTTCCTGATCGAGCTGGGGACGTGATGGTTTTACCGCCAGCTGTTTCCTACGTCCGTTCAGTCGTAAGCACACACGAGCCCGGACCAGTGCGTGATCGGTATCTACACACGTGTTCCAGAAGGAGCGACAATCTCCTACCGACCCACGCCAACGATAGCTTATTGCTATGTGGTCTATTTGTGTCCAGCGTTGGTTTGATGATGGGGGTCGCCAGGTTAAACAGTGTCTCTCCTTGTGTTTAAAGTTAGTGCTTACAAGAAACAAATGATTATCTGAACAGAACTGTAGGAGACGGTCACCGTTGTCGGTTCGCTGGCACGGAACTCCATAGGTGCCACCGACATCCTTCTCAGATTGACACAATTTCCCTACTTGAGCGTTAAAGTCACCAGCTAGAACGACTATATCTGAGCGTTTAGCCTTTCTCACCAAACTAGACAGCTTTTGGTAGAACTCATCCTTCGTTTCATCCGAACTGCAGTCAGTGGGGGCGTAGGCGGAGATTACGAAAAGGCATCGGCGAGTAGTGCAGTCCTTTCTCCTTCTTACTGATCCGTTCAGACGGACAGCACACATTCGGCTATCTACCGGGATCCAGTCAAGCAATGTCTTTTCTGCCCTAGTACTCAGAGCTATCCCTACGCCAGCTAATCCTCGTGAACTAGCTGTGGCATCTCCTGACACCCTCAAGGTGAATTTTGAAGATTCATCCTGTTGGCCAGGTGGGGTTAGGTGAATAACCACACTTGGGTCTTGTATGCGTGTTTCTGAAACACAACATACATCAATGGCTCGGGATGCCAGGGTCTTAGCTAGTGATGCTTGTTGTCCTATTTGGCAAAGTGTCCTAACATTAAATGCTCCTATATGAAATTGGTGGCGTGGCTTTAGGAGACTATCCGTGGTGGTTTTTTGGCTTTCGTCGTTTTTAGTGGACACAGAGTGAAGAGGGAGTGAGGAGCCATCAAGTAGAGGAGTTGCATCAGTGGAAGGAAGGGAAGGAGATGAAGATGAAGACAAAGATAAGTGAGGATTAGAGAGGTTTTGTGTGCATTTCGGATTGTGAGGGCGTTTGTTACTTCCCGGCTGCCCACACCGTGGAAGTTGGTTGCGTGACCGCAGAGCCCAGGGGACAACTGCTTGAGGCCGGTCACACGCGGCCTGTTTTTGTTCGTTCTCTTTTGTTTGGTGTGCCTCAGTAGCATACTTATCACTCCTGCCCTGTGACACGGCAGCAGGAAGCGCGGTCGTTGTTAATCCGGGCCACGGCCGATCCGGCATGAAATTTTGTGAATTTGTTTGAATCATGGTATTGGATGGGGTAGCTGCTTTTTGTTTAACCGCTATCCAAACAACCTGCCTGGCATGGTAGAACCTCAAGAGACATAAGTCTCAGCCAGTATAGCTTGATTAGGTCATTGCGGTGTTCAAGCCCGACCACCACGTCAAGGTAGCAGCTTTCGGTTGGGTTCCAATTGGAACATACGACTTCATAAACACATCCCCATATCACTTTGCACTCTTTAGCCTTTTGTAAATGGCTCGACTTTCATTCATCTCTCACACAATATCCTCCATGTCACTTTCTGACCGACGTCCAACTCGTCAATCCCCAATCGGGTTCCTACCGAGAGCCTGGCGCGTGACGTCAGTTAAATATCTCCTCAGCTTGTGTCTGGTCCCCCTTCATCCCTCCTTGGCTACTGGATTTCCTTGTTAATTTTTCTGAAAATTTATTGCGTTGCATCTTTTGTTAATTTTTTTTTATATTTTACACAGAATGATTTAATCATCACCAATCACAAATCAAGCGATACATCATTCAAGTTAAACACAATAAATGCAATGGGTTGGTGTGAATTTGTCAAGTTGGCGAATAAATCTCCAGATCCAACTGTACGAGATGTTTTTGCCAAACACCTGCTACAGATACCTGGTTGTTCTGGACCAAAAATCACCTCGATCCTGCAGAATTATCCAACTCCGTCTAGGTAAGCATCCGATTCAAGTATTTGTTTTAATTGGATTTGAAAGTGTAAAAAACTTGGGCACTTCTGATGGTAGAGTATAATTCCCCAATATTTTAATAATCGCACACAGTGATGATGCAGGTATTAACAACTGGATGACAGAAAAGGTTTCAAGCAAAAATTATTGCCACGCATATAATCATATCAATTTAGTCACACAGCTTTACAGTTTGTCTATTATGTGTTCTCCAACTCATGGAAAATTCCCACTGTAACATACAGAAAAAATCAAAACAAGTAATTCATTCAGCGAAGAGACTCTTTTCAACAATGAATTTATCATCAAGTTGTACAATCGTATATATATATATGGTTTTTAGGAAGTTATATCCGGTGTGGGAATTGAATCTTAGGTGTGAATGCATAAAATAATAATAATAATAATATGAAGTGCAATTAAAACTAAAATGTTTGTGATCATAATCATAGTTAAATGTCAAGTGGCAAAACAAATTAATGTCGTATATAGAATATTTCGCTTGCCACACGCATTCGGCGCATATGTAGCCCAGATACTGTGGAAGATGAATTATACCTTTTGAGCAAAATCCCAATAGAAAATGAATTTCCACCACGTTTTATAGATATTCAATCAATCTTCCCATGTCTTAGCGATTTCTAAAAGAATATTTCGTCTGACTTTTTATATTAAGAAGAAGTTAAGGCACTCAGGCATAGCTCAACCTCTCCTCCTCTTACAGTCTGTCAACTCGTGCATCTTACCTATGCTTCTTTACTGTAACACATGTCCTAACCATCTCAGTCGATGTAATTTCACAGCCTCGTCGATTAATTTCCCCTCCTTACCTAACTCTCGACCGATACCTAACCTCCATATTGCTCACTCTATTACACCTATCACTTCACATGGGACGTAGAACTCAGGCACTTGTGATGGAAGACAGCTAAACGAGCTTTTCATATATTCCACTCTCAATGACCAGGTCTTGCTCACAGCCAGCCATAAAGGAAGACGTAGCGGACTGCTGAGCAGTACACCCGCCAGAGACGGCGTAAACTGGCATATGCGAAACTAACCCTCTGTATCCGTACTTCAAGTAAGCATACAGAAGACAATAGTGATGAAAATACCTTAACCAACAACAATAACAACAACTAATCCCCATGATCAGAAGGAGGAGTGTAAAGGAAGTCAATACTTACACCTTAACTAGACAGTGTCGTTACAACGACAGGATGGCACGGATAAAAGTGTCGAAGTCGTCAGTCAGTATCGTAAACGCAAGGCAGATCTTCATTAGTCCGAAATCAGTGTGTGTTTGTGTGTGTGGAAATCTGCCGCATTTAGCATAAGAAACAATATCAGGAATTTTAGCAGTGATGTCACTTCAATGCTTCTATGCCGTCTAGAGAGTTGATTCATGCGTCACGAGGAATATTCCCTACAGGCTATTTCAGAATTTCATCAAAAGATGCCTTCTTCACTTGATTCAAGTAACAAGGAACTCTTGCAACGAACTAACCCAGAAGGGAATGGAAATAGGTTGTAAACACACTGAAACGACCGTTGAATAGCATCATGAGCCATGCGACTCTGTCAAGTGGAACCTGAATGTGAAACAACAAGTTCGTTGTGGGTCTGAGGGTGTAATGGAGGAGATGCTGTAAGGAGGAGTAAATAAAAGCGTATGGGAAGTGATGGAAGCAACCAAAAAGGACTGCAGGGAACAGAGTGAAATGGAGATTCGGTGCTGAAGCTGTATGTTCCACTCGGAAACCATGGGAATAATAATAATAATAAACCTGGTGTCTTAGCCTATTGATTTTTTTCACCTTGAATACAACAACCAACCGAACCATATTCCGTATGGTTCAGCAGAGAAGCCAATGACAATCCGTAATTTTGATGATACAACATATGCTCAGAGGAATGCATTAAGGAAGAAATGCATAAACTGAAACACAGTGCAAGGAAATGGATATCCACAGAGCTTCCTAAAAAACTATATGTCAATACCTACAGACAGGGTAAAGGTGGATACCGTAGACAAGAAACCTTTCTATCTTAAGTTAAGTTACAAAGGGGAAATTGCAGCTGGCATTCTAAAATGTCGACTTAATAGAGCAGTGGATAGAACATTTCCCGCAGCTAAACTGGTACGCAACTTCTCAACTAAGCCAGTACTGACACAGCAAATCAAGGATAAATTACCAAAGATGGCCTCATTAATGTGCATCTATGAATTCAACTGCTCACGTGGAGCTATTTACATTGGCCGTACTCAGAGGATTTTATCCATGCGCGCGCGTGAACATGTACCTTTATGGTTGAGTAAAGGAGTAACCAACTGAGTAAATAGTGCAGTCTTAGCCCACTTGGTAGATACTGGACACCCGATAAAACTTGACCAGGCGTTCTCAGTTATTTACCGCGTTCCTAGTAATTCATCTTGAGGAGCTCGACTGCGTCTTTTATCAGTAGCTGAAGCGGTTACAATTAATACCAGAAGACCATCTCTTTGCATACAGAAGAAGTATGTTCAACCTCTATGTTTACCTTGGCCTACAATAAAGCTAACAAATCTTCCATTAACACTATAAATTCCTTTCACAATTTTCTTTTCTTTTCCTTCTTCTATTCCTCTGTTTCATTAACAAACGTTCATTTTCGACTTTTATGATTTCATGACCTTTCTTATGATTCTATTACCTTAGGTTTAAATAGTGCTTTTCTAACTTGCTATCGTATTTACAAAACCCTGTTCATTCCACTTCATTATGTTTATTATTATTAGTATTTGACAATCATTCACCAGTAGTGCTTGTAGTTTTACACCATATCATCGTTATTATTTTAAAATCATTCTTAGTGTTCATTATAGTAAAGGTTTCTGTATTTCCCAATGAATGAAAAACAAAACGATATTGTTTTTACTGACGTTTCGCTATTTAATGCTAATAGCTTTATCATAGTATCCTTATTGTTGTTATTTTCAACCTTAAACTTATGTCTAGTGCTCCCCATTCGTTGGTTTATTTTCATATTGTCTGACACACCCTAAATCCACTCACTCTCGAAACCTGTGTTTTCCGTTGACTATGTACCTAGGGGCCTTTTATTAAATAAGCTATCATTGACACAAACAGGATCCTGGGCTAAGAGTTGGTTGCATTCCTATTTTTCTGATAGAATGCAGTATACTGTATATAACGGCAAATCTTCTTCTACCTCGCTTACAAAATCCGGTGTTCCACAAGGTGCTGTCCTCTCTCCTTTTCTTTTTTCTTTCTTCCTACATGACCTACCTCATTCAAACGAAACTAACTTTGTCAAATATGTAGATGATCTGACTGTATCACTGCCTATCACTTCCGAGTCTGACAGCTCCAAACTTAATAGCTTTCTGTTGGACATCAACAACTGGTCCAAGTCAAATGGTCTTATATTGAATCCTTCCAAATGTCAGGTGCTTGACTTTACTTTCAAGCATCGACGTGACTTACTTGAACTAGTTAACTCTCATGATCCCTGTAGCATAGATGGCACGGAAATTGAAACCAAATCAAGTATTAAATACCTTGGACTAGTTTTTTCCTCTGACCTTTCATGGTCATCCCATATCTTATCTATCTCTAAGAAAATGTTTCGTCTTACCTTCTACATTAAAAAGTTAAGACAATCAGGTATCAACCAACCTTTAGTTTTGCAATTTTTAAACTCCTGTATTTTACCTATTGTACTCTACTGCTCTCCATTAATCTTTCCTGGGCTTCTCAAAAAAGATTATATCATATTACGAAGAGTATTAAATGCTGTGAGTAGAGCTTGTGGTCTGCCACTGCATGAGCTCGCTAATACTATAGTCGAAAGGCATATAAATTCCTGTACGAAATGAGCAAAGGCTATAATGTCAGACCCTCTGCACCCCCTTTATTCACACCTGTCCCCTTGTATCTCATCAGGTAGGACGAGAAGTCAATATAAAAAGATATATGCTCGTACTACTAAGTATAGAAATTCTACAATACCCTATTTAGCGCGTACTTTATGTGACGAAGACTCTGTTAGAAGTGAAACTTACAAGTTACTATGTAATTAGCACAGTGAATCGACCCTTTTATCGCTCATCTTTCTGTATTTTATGGTGTTACACTTTCTATCGTTTAAATCGTTACTCTGCTATTTTATATTAGTTGGTATTACTATTATTACTACAATTTTGTACTTTATACATATTTTTCTCCGTATGGCACACAGTATTTTGCTACGTAGCTGCTACAACAATCGTTTTATTACTATTATGTATTGTGTATTTTTAATTTTTTTTTGTCGTTTTTGGGTAAATTAGATGCAATATTGTACTGAATGCTGAAAATTCCTTGCTGTATCATGAGTACTGTTTTTGGAATAAAGCAATTATTATTATTATTTATTATTATTATTATTATATTAATATATATATACACATACATCATTAAATTAAATTACTTCGTCCCATTTTGTCCCATATTCTCATTGACCATGCATATTAAAAAAAACTATCTGACTATTGTCCCATCCCATCTTATACTTGTTCCACAATACACTTTCTGATATGATTTTAATTTGCCTTTACTTACTGACTGGCTATTGTATGCTTAAATTAATGGATTTATAATTGTAGAGCCTGAAGAAGAATTCATTGAAAACAATTGTTCGCTCTAAATATTTTGTTCTGGATACAACAATTAGTAATTAAGATGTATGAATTGATGAAATTCACTGTGATATCTTTTATAGCTTTATATACAATCCTGTTTTTTCTAGTATTGGTTTGTTGGGATTTGATTGATTGATTGGTTACAGGATTTCATCATGAACTTATATCGGTTAGAGAACCATTGGAAAATCAACAGGGAGTACTGGACATCTGTTAATACTAATCTGATGCTCACTAGCGACTGACCTTATTCAGGTAGGTGGTAGTCAGTTACTTGCGTTTTAGTTGGGAAGCCATGACCAGTAGTAGGGTACAGCAGGTTACAAGTGAGGCAGTAGTGACTTGTCGAAAAAGACATTGAGAAGTGGTTGCGCTATGGCGTAAATCTGCAAAAGTTGGAATTCATGTGTCACTGGATCGGGTCCCAGTGGCTTAATGGTCTACAAGCTAACTTATCTTATAACTAGAAGGTTTTGAGTTCGTACTGATGAAGAGTCCCAAACTAGGACGAAACAACTGGCTGTCCAGTATTCCCAGATTTTCCAATGGTTCTCTAGACGATGTCACCTCATGATGAAATCCTGTAAGCAATTCTGTTTTTCTACTGTACACATTGTCCACTAGTTATCGTCCTATGGTATTGATATTTTTGTTGTGTTTTTTTTTTCAGTTTAATGGACGCATATGACAAACAACTTACTACATCACAAAAGGACAATATGTTGGCCAATTTAAAACCATCAGATGGAAATCGGTAAGTTAAAGATGAATATTAAACTTCTACTATTTTTCTTTCATCTTGTTTTTACTTCATGTTAACGGTTGAATAAGAAAAAAAAGGCCTTAGAAAACTCATCACTGGCTTAAACACACTACTTCCAACCGAAGGGATGAAATTCTACCTTACCTTACTATGATTTCTTCTTGGGGTGGATGCGTGTATGAGATAGAAAGAGCATATTAGTGTTGCGTGAGAGAATCCAGGAGAAAACTAATTCAGACCGGTCACAAAAGCGGTTTTCGGAGTTGCGTCCGTATTAAGAACTTACCGCCGTAAGGTGATTCGGGATGAACAATTTTCGGGGTCAACTTTTTTCTAACCCCTTCCCGTCCCCATAGTGGAGAGGCTACATAGATCCCTATTCACCAGCAGTGCAACTTCTTCTACAGATCCTCAACACTATGACAATAACTGCTTTTTATCTGACCGTTATCCAAACAGTCTTTCTGGCATGGTAGGACCAGCAGGAACATTCATTCCAGTGTAGCTCGCTATGCTAGGGTAGTATACATCAACTTAAGCCACCTCTGGTGCCGTCAACAAGTTAGTCTGGTTGTCAAAGGTCGAGTATACAATGATTCCGTGCGGGCTGTTTTTCTCTACCCCTGTGAAAGCTGGCCTCTCCAAGCTGAGGATGTTCGGCAACTCTGCGTGTTCGATCATCGCCGTCTCCGCAGGACTGCTTGCGTTCGATGGCATCATCGCGTGAGTAATTCTGAGGTTCGGCGGCGTGTGTTTGAATACAGTGGAGATCACCACTCGTTGAGTGTCGTCATCTGGAAACACCGGCTCCGGTGGCTTGAACATGTGCGGGGAATGTCATCCCAGAGGCTTCCGTACACGTCTTTGTTCGCCAACCCTGGGACGGGATGGAAAAGGCGGAGGGGGGTGGTCAGTCCATGACGTGGCCTCGTGAGAGTCCGAAAGATAGCTCGAATCGATGGCTCGAAACGTTATCGGATATGGCCAAGAATCGCAGTCATCAATGGCGAATGTGTTGCAATTCCCTTCTTTCTTCCCTTCCCGATGATAGTTAACGAATACTGTTTGAACTTGTTAAGTATGACTATTTTCCTTCCAGATAAAGTTCTTTATCCGTTCTCTACTTATATTTTTTTAACTTTTAATCTATGCTGTTTTATTATTATTGTGTGACGCATCTTTCGTGGCGCGATATTTTACCAAGTTTTTTTCTGCGTTTAAATAATTAATAATAATAGTTTGGTAAACATGCCCAGCACCACCGCGCGACCTCGTCACTTCACTTTCCGAGCTTTAAGTGAAGTCTTACACATAAAATGGCAGAACAAGAGAATCTGAAATCTTTTGTATGCAATAATTTGATGTAATGGGTCTTGATTGTTGGCGGCCTGCTTAAATCTTGGGCTACCAAAATTTCCATCCTACATATTGCATCTATTTCCTCGGATTTATTTTGTTTTAATCATTCAATTATGTATCCAAGTCGCATTACTTACTCTCGCGATTATTTAAAATGTCTTCAACCCTTTGATTTACGAGTATATAATAACGTTAAGAAAAAGCATCATGGAGGTTGGCAGAGATCATTAAAGTGTACTCCAATGCATCAGATGACTGTTCCTGTGATTATGAGCACAAATTGCAGGTCATTATCGAACAAGATTAACTACTTGCATTCTCTATTATACTCAAATGTATATTGTAATACTGGTGTAATCACTCTTCAAGAGACTTGGCTCCATGATTCATATGACGACAATTTAGTCTCCTTAAGTGGGTTCACAATCTACAGACAAGACCGATGCAGCTCGAAGAAGAAGAGAGGTGGTGGTGTTGCCACTTTTATTAATTCTCAGTGGTCTACTGCCAACAACGTCTGCTTCAAATTCTCAAATGACAATATTGACTGTATAACTGTAAAATGTCGACCTAAACACTTACCTAAGTACAACTCCATTTTTGTCACAAATATCTATATCACACCTTGTTGCAGTCCCTCAGAACTATCTATCTTCGCTGATGAATTCACTATTTTTGCTGCTGCTTCGTTTGGTAACTCCTTATCTATAGTGACCGGCGACTTCAACTCCAGCGACTGCAGTTTTATTACATTGCTGGGCCATGCAAATGTTGTTAATTTCCCAACTCGACAAAATACTTCACTTGATTTAGTATTTGTAAATGATTCTGGAATATACGAAGCTCGTAAAAGAGCCCCGCTCTTCAATTCTGATCATTGTATTGTACGAGTCTTACCCAAAATTTACGGAAAGTTACACAGTAAAGCCCTCTCAAACTTGTCTAAGAAAGTTGTTCACAGATGCTACTCAAATGAGAACGTACATCATCTTAGAAACATGCTCAGTGACACAAGATGGGATTTGTTTAATGTTGATTCACTTAATGACAATATCTCTAATATTACATCCTATCTGAAATTCTGTTTTGAAATCTGTTGTCCAAAAGAAACACTATTCGTCAAATTTGACCGTTTCTCCTCGCCTCAACTTAAAAAGCTTCGTAGAGAGAAGGAAAAACTATATAAAATCAAAGATAAAATTGGTGTAAAAAGAACTAACTTCTTAATTAAGTCTGAAATGCAGAGGTTGAATGTAATATATAACCAGAAATTCATGTCCTGCAAAAATCCTTCTAATATGTGGAAACTATTTAAGGAAATCACTGGTGGTAAGCAGATAAACAATATTCCATATTCTTTTGATGTATGTACTCTTAACAAATCTTTTATTTACTCTCCCTCAAATGCCATGCTTCCCAGCATCACTTGTGTTAATAATAGCCCCTTTCCAGGTTTTAACACAAATGATGTTCAAAAGTGCCTCAAGTCTCTAAACCCTTCCCAGAGCTTAGGTCCCGATTATGTACCTAGTATTATTTTTAAAAAATGTTCTGATATTCTGTGTCACCCTCTTACTGATCTATTTAACAAATCTTTTTCCGATAATATTGTGCCTGCCGTTTGGAAGGACATTAAAGTTGTACCCATACCTAAATCTTCTACTGGAGCATGTGTCAAATTTAGACCCATTGCTATTACGTCTCCTTTTTTGAAAACTATGGAGAAATTACTTTTACTTAGTCTTGAACCTTCGCTTAAATCCTTTAATGACCCTAAACAATTTGCCTATAAGCACAGTAGAAGCACTTTAGATGCAGCTGCCGTCTTATATCATAACATTGCTTCCAGTCTAGACAAGGGGGCTAAATTTGTTCGTTGCGCCTTCCTAGACTATACATCTGCTTTCGACTCGGTCCCTAGGGACATCTTATTAAATAAACTTGCTGCTAGTCAAACAGAATGTTGGGCTGTTAACTGGTTGCATTCCTATTTCTCAGATAGAAAGCAGTACACCGTATATAAAGGGAAGTCCTCCACTTCATTGCCTACTGAAGCTGGTGTCCCTCAAGGTGCTGTTCTTTCTCCTTTTCTTTTTTCTTTCTTCTTGCACGACTTGCCTCACTCTGATGAAATAAACTTTGTGAAGTATGCTGATGATTTAACGGTTTCAATGGCTGTTAACTCCCAGCTAGATTGTACTAAAATAAATAGCTTTCTATCGGAAGTCAGCAAATGGTCTGAGTCTAACGGTCTTAAACTGAATCCTTCTAAGTGTCAAACTGTTGATTTCAGCTTAAGATGTAAACGACAGTTAAAAGAAGTCATCGATTCTCATGACACTTGTAAAATTGACGACAATGATATAGGAATCAAATCAGAAATTAAGTATCTTGGACTCATTCTCTCTTCTGATCTCTCCTGGTCTTCCCATGTCTTAGCAATCTCCAGTAAAATATTCCGCTTGACATTTTACATTAAGAAGTTAAGACACTCGGGTATAACTCAACCCCTCATCCTACAGTTCGTAAACTCTTGCATCCTACCTATTCTTCTTTATTGCTCACCCTTATTCTTTCCTGGTTTGCTTAAAAAAGACTATGTCACAATTCGTAGAATACTGAAGACTGTCAGTAGAGTGAGTGGTGTCCCAGTGGACCACATAGTTAACGTCGTTGTCGATAGGCATTTGACTTCGTGCAATAAATTTGCTAAAGGGATTTTGTCTGACTTGGAGCATCCGCTTTACCCTCAGCTTTCACCTTGCATCTCCTCAGGTAGAACAAGGAGTAACTTCAGAAAACTGTATGCTCGCACGTCTAAGTATAAGAATTCTATGATACCATACTTGGCACGTATTTTATGTGATGAAAATAGTGTCAGGCAAGAATTAACTAACCTTTTTCATCTAGTAAATAAACAATTTCCTCCATCCATCCTTATATACCTTCAAGTTTTACTTTTATTACTTCTATTATATTTATGGTCCTGTTACTTTTCTGTTTTACTCTCATAATTGCAAACACCAACTTATCTCCATGACGGCTGTAATCTTTTTTTTTCCTTCACCATATCATGTAAAGAGAACATTATATTCAATATTTTTAAACATGTTAGGATTTCTATACCACATTGCCAATACTGTGTGACACAAGCCAACGGCAATTTTCACTTGTATTATTATTATTATTACCCTAGCTGTTATCATTATTATTGCTATTTCCATTTTATATGCTGCATGTTTTTGACACTACCTCTATTGTAAATGTGGAAAATTTTCTGTGTGATTAATTTTATTTATAATTTGAGGAAATTAGATGCAATATTGTGATTAATGCTGAAAATTCCAATCTGTATCACAAGTACTGTTTTTGGAATAAAGTAAATCATTATTATTATTATTGATTTAAATGAAATGTACATTTTTGTCACACGGTATATGATCCCAACCAGGTGCTGGCCCCCAACTAGTCGAACTACGGAACCTGGCCAACTGTTAGCCAATCATAAATCAGTTACTTGGGTCAGATCTTTTCTTTTTCTTTTCAAGCTACGTAGTTGCCCAGACTGAAGTAGTTACAGCAGGAGTCGAACTCGGAGCCAGCTGACTGAAAACCGAGTACTGAAACTAGTGAGTTACATCAGCACAGGTTACCATCTCACTACAGTCATCTGTCGAAACTATCACAACCAGTGGTAACACCGTCTATAGTTCTAATTATTTTTCCCTTTTTTTTCTTTCTTTTCAGATGTTTTGGAGCAGCTCTCAGTCGACGTATCTCTTTAGCCTATAATACTTTATAATTGTTATACTGTACAAAATCTCTTGTGAATATAGATTTTTACTTTATGTATTTTGAGTAAATTCATTTCTATTACCAGAGACTAACCTTTAGATAAGGAAGATGTTTGTAGTGTCAGAGGATTATGAATTAATGAATAGGAGCCTATAAAAGCTGGTAGGCGGCAATTCGTTGAATGCTACTGTGAAGGCATGTATGCTGCCTCTCCCGACTGATAGCTGCTACCTTGACGTGGTGGTCAGACATGCACATCGCGATGACCCAACGAGCTGCACTGGCTGAAACCAATCTTCCTGCAGGTCCTACCATGCCAGGAAGGTTGTTAGGATAGCGATTAGACTAAAAGCAGTTACCGGGATTGTGTAAGAATCTTTCTTATGTGTGTCACCGGCCGGCCTCAAGCAGTCGTCCCCTTGGCTCTGTAGTCACGCAACTCTAACCCTCTTTCTGTTTCAGGTACCTGAAGAATCAATCAACTTCTACGGTGTGGGCAGCCGGGAAGTAACAACCACACACTTACAAAAGCACATTTCCATGTATGCCTCTATACTTCCTGGTAGTTAAATTGCATCTTTGTCATTAATAGGTTGATTGAATGCTTGCCAGTTGCTCGCTTCGGTAGGTTCAGTTTCGGTTCCCGGGTGAAACACTCCGAAACGACCTAGTTTACTGTCAGGTAGTAAGTGTTGAGAGAAGATTGAGCATGAGGCTTGAAGTCCTACTGTTCCATCCAGAATACAAAAGGAATGAAGAGAAAAAAACATCCTGATAAAGTTTCTGATCAATCACACTGTTCACCAGTGAAAACTTTCAAAGGTGTTATTACTGTTTCAGCTTGACTTTACAACAAGTTAATGTAGGTGGAGCAGGATCCATTAGATACCTTAACCTAATCATCCACCACTCATTGTGGTGCTGTGATACAGACAATGTGTTCCAACGTAATATTATTCTCATATATTCCCACAGTTTAATACTGCATTAATAACAGAATGCTATATATGTATGAACCAAAATTACACACTGTATCTATATAAATAAAAAAGGCTTCACTTATTTGGATAGTTGTCAGCGAACGCCAACAGGTTGATCGCTGACGAAGTCTCAGTTTGGATACAGAGGGCTAGTTTGGCATATGCCAGTTTACGCCCTCTCTGGCGTAGACGTGATTTCCGGTTGGCTGTCAACCAAAGGCCGTGTGCACTGCTCAGAAGTCCGCTCCGTCCTCCTTCATGGTTGGCTGTGAGACCTGACCATTGAGATTGGAAGATGTGAAAAGCTTCGTTAGCTGTCTTTGATCATAGGTGCCTGCGTTCTACGTCCCGTGTGAAGTGGTAGGTGTAATAGTGATCGCTCGGGTGCTAGGTAATTGGGAGTGGAAATCAATCGACGAGGCTGTGAAGCTACATCGACATGTGTTACGCATACCTAGACGTCGCCTTCCTCGACAACAGGAAATGTTAGCTGATATAGGGTCAGGCTGGAAAAGAGCTAGCACGTGGTGATCAAACCAAAGCATGGCTTAATCAGTCAATCAAATCCACAACAGTTAGTTTAAGCCAGCTAGTCACGTTGGAAGGTGTAGACTGGTTTCTCGATTGGGGTCCTCGGGACGGTAAAAACCAATGGCCGGCAACAATTGGTGATATAGCTCAAAGTGATCGTTCTTAATAGCTGGCTGGTGCATATGCATCCACTCCTTGCGACTTATGATTTCCAATGAAACTACATTGTTCTTCGTTATTACTATTCCTTTGTCTCACACCTCTGTTTACTGTCTCTATTTCGCATTTCTTCTCTTGCTTTGTGTGCTACATGCGGAGGGAGTGTAGCGACTTGAACTTCTGCACATCGGTGCAAAGTTTTATGTTGAAAAGAGACAAACAGACAGAAATAAGTTTCATAACTTGAAAATGTACCTTGGCTTCCGTGTCTTGCCTTCTGTTGTTAGAACATTCTCATTATTTTTTTCTCTCTCTCTCTCTACTTTAACACTTTTTATCGATTACAGTTTCGTAGTATTTCTTTTTATCTACTGTTTTGTATATGAACTTTCTGAAAATAATGTCGCTTTTGTGTAAATTTCCGCATTATTAAGTCTATCACAATTGAACATTGATTGCCATTAAAATTCAAATCAATGATATGGAGTTACGCTTTACTGGTTTCACCGGTCGACCTCCAATCAAGGAAATTACAGATTTGAACTCTACTCCACATCTTGACACAGAACACGGATGTGACTCACGCGAACTATGTATGGGAATTGTTCAAGCGGTTGTTTTTGAATAACATAACTATAATATTATTGATTTTATTGCCGATATATGGATGACACCTTCATTTCTTGTGATAATGATTCTGATAGCAGTAAAATAATTACTGAATTCAGCGAAGTACATTCGGCTATGAAATTCACATGTGAAGAGGAATCCCAAGATAGAATGAATTGCCTTCCTGGATGTCCTACTTACAAGAAAACCAGATGGTAGCATAAAAAGAAATTTGCTTAGGAAACGTGCTTGGACAGGACAATATACACTCATTTTCACAGCTTCGTTCCTATCAAGTACATAGGAAATTTAGTGAAGACCCTCAGCCACAGAGTAAGAGCTATATGCTCAGAAGAAGTAATTGAAGATGCATTTAGCATTGTATATGATACTTTGATCGAAAATGGCTATCCTGACAATTTTATCAAGAAACACATGACAAAGAAAGCGGTGGAAAAGGACTACTCACTGTCTGTAAACAAGAAGCCACTTTATATACGTCTGCAATTCAAGGGCGATATACCAAGCGAGATAATTACTAGGAAATTAAGAAAATCAGTTCAAAGAACTTTCAATGCTGGAAAACTACACGTCTGATTCTCTACACGATCGATGGTGCTACCTCGACTGAAAGATGAAGTACCTAGACTAGCTGGTCACTTCAAATTGTATCTACCAATTCAACTGCGCCTGCGGTGGAGCGAGTTATATGGGCCGTTGCTCTAGGAACTTGATTTTTCGTGTTCACTCGAGAGCATCTCCCAGTAGTGCTAAGTAAAGGTGCAGTTAAAACCATCAACAGTTCGATAATGGACCATCTGCTCCAAACAGCAGAGGCTATTGCAACCAGTACTCTTTGTTCAAAAGAAGCAAGTCCAGCCCCTACTACTGCCCTGGCTGGTCTTCAGTAGAGACTATAACTTCGTGAATTTGTAATATTATCTTTCCTATTTTTTCTGACATTCAGCTTATTTTATGTTGATGCGATTCATCTGTAATCTATTAATATTATTGATTCGATGTTATGTAAAGAGCATTAATGTTGTTCATAACACTAATTCATTCATTCATTCACTATAATGTATATATAACTAACTGTAGAGCCCGATGAAGAAGAGGTTATCGAAAAGAGTACTCTTTGTTCAGTATCCATTCTTTTGAAAATATTATAAATATAAAATCAAAACAAATGATTCAGCGAAGAGATTCTTTTCAACGAATTTATCATCAAGCTGATTGTAACCTGAATAATATATTAGATGTTTTTAATGAATGCCATCCTGCGACAAAATTCACACTCGAAATGGAGAACGAGTCTAGCATTCATTTCCTCGATGTGAACTTATCAAGAAGGACCGATGGAACTCTGAAGAGATCGATTTATCGTAAGCTGTCATGGAATGGTCAGCTGACAAATTTCTACAGCTGGGTACCCATTGGTCGAAAACGAAACCTGGTCCGGTCGCTTGCCACTCGTATTCGACGCATTTGTAGCCCGGTTACTGTGGAAGATGAGTTATACACTTTGAGGAAAATCCTAATGGAAAATGGATTTCCACCACGTTTTATAGATAAGAATATACATTCAAAGCCTACAAAACGTGACTTATCAACCGTTCCCAAGAAAATACTTTACATGAGCTTGGAATTCAAAGGCGACTTAGCTTCCGATATCATGAAACGAAGGATATTACAGTCCCTGAAAAGAGCATACTCTGCTGCATCCCTGAGAATAGCCTATACTAGCCGACCATTACTGTTCAATAACCTGAAGGACAAGATCCCGCTGTCGACCAACTCTATGTGCGTTTATCAATTCACCTGCTCTTTTGGAGCTAGGCATATCGGTCGTTCGACTCGAGTTTTGTCCAAGAGGGTGCAAGAACACTATCCTGGACGGCTACGAAAAGGTGGAAGTGGAGCAATAAGAAGCGCAATCACTGAACATCTGGTCGATAATGATCACCCTATCTCTATAGCCTCCGCCTTTAAAGTCATCTACAAGGTAAAGAGTAATTTACCCAAATCCCTACGTACCCAACTCATCTGTATTGCTGAAGCTTTGGCTATCGAAACAGAAAAGCCAGATCTCTGTGTACAGAAAAAGCTCATACAACCCCTCCAACTTTCATGGTCTTAATCCCTCTATGCTAAAGTATGTATGGTAATCCCCAATCATATTTCAGCTCTACCAATTTCCCATGCTTCATTTTGTCTATTCAATTTGTATTCTCTTCCTTATTACGTCAATTGTTACTATTACTACTCTCACTTTGAACTGTTCCCGGTATTATTTCACTTGTTCCACTTGTCATTCTAAATTAATTCTTTTTTTTATAACGTTAAATTCTATGCTATCAAATTTCACACAGTATTATGTAACGTTTTTATTTTATTCGATTTATCTACTAGTCCTATAATCGTCCACCCTTTTTCAAGTTCCACCCATCCTATGAGTTATTTTTATATATGACATTAATTTGTTTTACTACTTGACACTTAACTATGATAATAATCACAAACAGTTTAGTTTTTTTTAAATTGCATTTCATACTACTATTATTATTATTATTTTATGCATTCACACCTATGATTCAGTTCCATCACCGGATATAACTTCTTAAAAACATATATATATATATATATATATATATATATACACGACTGTACAGCTTGATGATAAATTCGTTGAAAAGAGTCTCTTCGCTGAATGGATCACTTATTTTGATTTTCTATATGTTACAATGGGAATTTTCCATGAGTATTATAAATATATCAAGAAAATATATTTTGTACTATCACAAGAGAAGAAAACAACTTCCCAAAAAGAAATATCCATTAAAAAAAATACATAAACTAGGCAGATTAATACACATACACAGAGAGAGACGGAGAAGTAAAAATAACGCCAGGGACATATTAGAGAACACGCCTAAATTCTTTCATCATTTACTCTTGTTTCTTTTTGTTCTTGTTCTTCGACTTCGCCGTCTTCTTCTTCTGCTGTTGCTTCTGCTCCTGCTGATCTTGCTGTTTAACCTTTTCTGTACTTATTATGTCGAGTGGTTTTATTACATCCGGTTTACCTTCTTTTGTTGTTGTGGTGGCGGTTGCTGTTGATGTCGTAGTTGGCCACATAAAAATAAAAAATGCACAAAACAATCCGAACGCTGTATATACCGAAGTTAACATCAGTGGTAAGTAAGGTAGACGCTGGCCAAAAGAGGTGATAGGTAAAAGGATGTTTGTGAATAGAAAAAGGAATACAAGTCCGCATAAATGTAAACAGCCAAGAAATTGAATTATTTGTGACAACTTTGATTGTTTTATTGACTTTATTGATTTATTTCGATCTTTTTCATTGGTACTCGTATAATGGTTAACTGGTAGGACACGAAATAGGATAAGCCAGTGAATACATGTATGAGCGAGGTAGGCGGATATGACAGCGGGTAATTCTGTAAAGAGAAACAAGACAATGTGCTAAGTTATACAGTGTTTATATCAATTATGAGAGTTTGAATCTACGCAAAAGAGTAAAAGCAGAAATTTATATACCTTGAACCAGATAACAGGGTTACCGACAGTTTTATGTGCAGTCTGTCAACAACAGCAACTCAATTCAACAACCGTTTCCATACAGTTGGCAGTGAGCTAAAGAACCAACCAACCAACAATCTATACCCCGACAAATATGTCGAAAAAAATGGGGATGGATCGCACGCACGTAGGAAAAGATTAGCTGTCTTTGATCATAGGTGCCTGCGCTCTATCTCCCGTGTGAAGTGGTAGGTGTAATAAGGTGAGCAATATTGAGGTTAGGCATTGGTCGAGTGCTAGGTAGGTGGGAAGGGAAATCAATCGACGGGGCTGTGAAGCTACATCGACATGTGTTACGCATGGCTAGCCATCGCCTTCCTGGACACCAGGAAATGTTAGCTGATATAGGGTCAGGCTGGAAAAGAGCTAGTGAGTGGTCTTCAAACGAAAACACGGCTTAATCAGTCAATGAAAGCCACAACAGTTAGTTTAAGCCAGTCACGTATCAGTTATGTCATCGACTGTTACTCAATAATTAACTAATATACGGTTTTGGTTAATATAAATACGATTGTTGAGGCGTCGAGTGCTGGGTAAGGAGGGGAAATCAATCGACGAGGCTGTGAAATTACATCGACTGAGATGGTTAGGACACGTGTTACGTATGGCTAGCCTAGTCATCGCCTTCCTCGTCTGACGGACAATGTTAGGTGACATAGGGTCAGGCTGGAAAAGAGCTAGCGGCGATCCAACCAAAACATGGCACCAGTCAATTAAATCCACAACAGTTAGTTTGAGCCACGTAGAAAGGTGTAGACTTCCTTACTGTTTGAGGTCCTCAGGATGGTAAACACCAATGAAGGCTGGAAACAATTTGTGATATGGCTCAAAGTGATCGTTCTCAATGGCTGGTGCAGATGCATCCACTCCTTGTGACTTATGATTTCAAATGAAACTATATCGTTCTTCGTTATTACTATTCCTTTGTCTCACACCTCTGTTTGCTGTCTGTATAATGCGTTTCTTCTCTTGGTTTGTGTGCTAGATGGAGGGAGTGTGGCGACTTGAACTGGTGCACATTGATGAAAACTTCTATGTCGAAAACAGACAGACGCACGTTGAGTGACGTGGTGAATCAGACGAGCTCTCAGAAGGAACCGTGATGTGAAACGGCGAGTTAGTTGTGACGGAGGAGAAGCGATCCTACGGGTAATCATGGAGAACTGCAGCAAAGTAGGATGAAATGGAGATGTTCTGCCGAAGCCCGCTATGCTATTCGGAACCCAAGAGAATAATAATAAGTAACATATGGGGCTAGTGATATTATCTTACTGCCGAAATCTCGAGAGGCGGAAGCGAAGTTCAAATGCTTGACCCACTCACTAGTAGAGAGACAGAGAGAGAGTCAAGGCTTATGAGCAAAAGATTTTGTCTGTCAGCAGACAAAAATTTTCAAGTAACCAATAATACTTGAAAATTAATCCGATTCTCACTAGCGACTGGCCCTATTCAGGTAGGCACCTAATCCGGGGTTCTACTGAGAATTTATGACCACAGGTTGAAGGTGTGAGGCAGTAACTCATCGAAGAAGACATTGCGAAGTGGTTGCGACATGTCATGAATTGACAGAAGTTAGAATTCATAAGGTGACTGTTGGATTGGGTCCTAGTGGCTTAACTGTCAACGAGCTCACTAGCCTTGTAACCAGAGGCGTGCTGGGTTCTAACCCTGGAAGTGGATGGGTAGTGATGGAGAGTCCCGAACTAGGATGAAACAACAGCTGGCTGTCCAGTAGTCCTTGTAGGTTTTCCAATGGTCCTCTAACTGATGTCAGCTCATGATGAAATCATCCAACCAATCAAGCAAACTCAAATGACTAACAATCATTTACCAACACTTCTACACTCAATTTCATTGATTTGAACACTTTGGTTTGAAAACGTTTTTTCATCGGTAGTATTCCTGAAATAATGCGCGTCAAGACAGCAAGATTATTATTTCAGTGTTTAACTAGAATACAAATCATGTTACTTGTGATTCGGCAGTTACATCAGTTCTCTTCCTTCATGAATAATCTTCACATATATGTGTAAAACTTGGGCACTGTGGTATTAAGTAATTCTATATTAGTTTGATTATTAAATGTATCACACAGTGAAACAGTATTGTATACTGGATGACGTTTCGAACACAATTTATTGTTCATAATCATATCAATTTTTGTCACACGACTTCGAGATTTGATTTTTGAAGTCGTGTGACAAAAATTGATATGATTATGAACAATAAATTGTGTTCGAAACGTCATCCAGTATACAATACTGTTTCACTGTGTGATACATTTAATAATCAAACTAATATAGAATCTTCACATAGGCATTAGTTAAAAAAATGAAACAAGTAGTTTTACCGAAAACAGAGGAGTTTTCGGTGAATTCAATTTCTTTAGCTGTACAACATCAATTATGTATACAATCACTTCTCCAGAGAAGAGGATATTAATCAAAGTGACGATTTTCCATAACTATAGTTGTCCATACTAATCAATATACATGAGCGATGCTGGGGACATCACTCGTACCAAATTCCCATGAAACTTCATGAACTCTCTTACAAATTGCCGCGCCTGGGCAGCGATGATTCGAGACGTTCATGAAGCCGGCTCATCCTCCCGTAGGAGATAGCCGAAGTAAAGTAAGTAATATACATGAGCAGTTTTTTAGTAATAATAATAATTTGCTTTATTCCAAAACAGTACTTGTGATACAGAATTGAATTATCAGCATTTTACTACAGTATCGCATCCAGTTTGTACATTAACAATAAATAAAATTCTACATAGATTAAGGGTAATCTCGATTAGTTTTGACAACAACATATTAGTAATGTTGGTAGCAAAGCCAAAATTAAACAGTGTTTGAAGATGCTAGCATATTTACTGTCGTAAGCGGTAACAAAAAAGTCGAGATAAACATAGTGTGAAATAACGAAGAAGAATGTTTTAAATAGAGTTTGTATGGAAGAAAGAAACAAAGCAGCACATAACAAAAAGGAAAACGTTGTACCTATAAATGATATGAATTGGAAAGACGAGATCCAATTGTTCTACTGACTATTTAATAAGTTATAAGTTTCACGCCTAATGCTTCCTTTATCGCACAGAACACGAGCTAAGTAGGATATGGTTGAGTTGAGTTTTTGTACTTGCTAGTGCGAGCATATAGTTTTCTATATAGGCTTCTGGTTCTACCTGATGAGTTGTGAATGAAGAGGGTGGTGCGAGTTAGGTAGAATCGATTTAGCCCATTTTTCACATGAGTCCAAGTGGCTGTCGACCAGAATATTAACAAGCTGGTTAAGTGGCATGTTGTTTACCCTGCTGACAACCTTTCACATCCTGCGTAATAAGATATAGTCCTTCTTCAGTAGCCAAGGAAAAACTAATGGGGAGCTATAGAGAATAATAGGCAGAATGCAAGAGTTAACGAATCGTAGGAGTAAGGGTTGGGTTATTCTAGAATGTCTAAACTTCTTGATGTACAAGGTAAAACGGAATATTTTCTTAGAAATCAAGATATGATGAGACGACCAGGAAAGATCAGCAGATAGAATGACGCCAAGATATTTAATTTCCGACTTGGCCTCTATTTCAGTGCCATCTATGTTGCACACCTCGTGAGTGCTAATCAGTTTGTTTAGGTCAGATTTATGCCTAAAGGTGAAATTGATTGTTTGGCATTTAGAGGGATTTACGGTTAGACCGTTTTCCTTGGACGACTGGCTGATTTCTGATAAAAAGCCGTTTAGTTTGGAGCAGTCACTTCGACATTTGACAGACAAAGATACAGTCAGGTCGTCGTCAGCATATTCAACAAAGTTAATGTCATTTGAAGATGGTAAGTCATGTAGAAAGAAAGAAAGAAAAGAGAAGTGGGGAGAGTACAGCACCTTGGGGGACACCAGCTTCAGTGAGCACAGCAGAGGAGGATTTACCTTTGTATACAGTGTACTTCATTCTGTTTGAGAAGTAGGAATGCAACCAGTTTGTGACCCAGAACTCAGTTTGTGTTATCGAGTTGAAATAAGTATTATAGTTACATAATAAGATAAGTAATTTTAAGCAATGGAGACAAAAAGAAAACGGTTCATTTTTCAGGGGTTTTAAAACAACAACAAAAATAAGAACTACTCACCAGCATTCGTAGGAATCAATGGTATAAGACTATAGTAGCCAAGAGTGCTTACATAGAATGTAAGAAATCGATGCTCTCCAGATGTCAATGTGAACAAACTACAATGAATGCAAATATATAACAAAAGCATTATTGATACAGTTTGCGGTTTTTATCACACAGATACAAGAACATTTCTATGTTGATGGTATACACAGCCTACGATGAGAATTAGCATGTAGTGCTGAGGAGACATTCATCACTACGTAGCACTATCAGGTCAGCTGTAGGACCAACACTCCGAGTTTTAAGATGGATAGTGAAATCGTTGAGCGTGTTAATAACCACTTCAGTTATTTCGGAAGATTTCAGTACGGATACAAAAGGCTCGTGTGGCACTTGCAAACTTATGTCATCTCCAGCGTAGACATGATTATCCGGCTATTGATGAAAGGATAATACATACTGTGCATCAGTTATACTTCAAATTGAAGTATGCGCTGAAGATGTCACCCAGTAAGGTGATGAAAGCTTCGCAAACTAACCATCCAGCTCAGAGAACAAAACCACATCAAAATCAGTTGTACTTTCTGTGTGCTTTTGAAATGAAGTTTTACTATTATTATTCTTGAACCGCGTTATATCTTCTCCATCCCGATCAGAAAATGTTGCCTGATACTGATATCTGTGCAATGCAATCGATCAGAGAAGGCGGTAAGTTCAAAAGTTACAAGTATATTCTTGAATTTTCAGAAATCATGCAGATGTATTTTGAACTATCTATTGAAACGCCCTAATAAAGGTGACGCCACTTCAACAGAGAGATACGTCATATTGTAACAACAGAAGACAATGGCCAGTCAACAGATTGTTTACTTAGGAAATCAACACATATTTATAGATTTTCATGTACATTATTATAGATTATTATAAGCAAACAAACACAGTCTTCTGATTGGTTGTCTCTCACTGAAAGTTAATCTTTCATCTGTCTGTGACCGTTTCTTGAAGTTCAGATTATCTATCTGCGAACTGTGTCCGCCTAAACAAAGTCTTCTGTGGTTGGTTGTCGAGTCAGTCTTTGTTCTCATTTTTCTCACGACCAATATTGTGGACGTAAACATTGACGTAAATTACTGTCTACCAATATTGGCTAGCAGCCAGCTCTCACCACAATATCATCGCCCCCTGAAATAATGACTGTGAGATCAATTAGGTTATCGGAATGATTGACTGCGCTCAGTTAAATAACTAGAGAAAAGTTCCACCATTGCGATCTATTATTCACTTGCCTATAATTACACAATAGGGTGGGATAGGGTATAAGCATTAAATAGTTATATAGTTTGAAGGTACAGGGAAAGAGAGACAGACAGGCAGAGATTAATTAACGGATCTCAACACGAAATACTTACAAACAAAGTGGTGCAACACCTATCTCGAGTGTATGGAAAGTCGCAATGGAAAACAGAAAGCAGCAGTACTATATAAAGGAGGCTCAAAATCGTTCTCAGTGGCGCAGATGCATCCACTCCCTGTGACTTATGATCTTCAATGAAACTGTTTTGTATTTCTTTATTACTCCTTTGTCTCACACCTCTTCTCACTGTTTCTATTATGCTTTTCTTGTACTTTCTTCTCTTGCTTCGCGTGCTACACGGAATGTGGCGACTTGAACTTCCGCACATTTGTGCAAAGTTCTATGTCGAAAACAGACAGAGACAGACAGACTATATAAAGGAAGCTACAAAGTGGTCTAAACATCTATTGATATAGTTATACGATTTCATCATGAGCTGACATCAGTTAGAGAACCATTGGAAAACCTGGGAGTACTGGACAACCAGCTGTTTCGTCCTATTCTGGGGCTCTTCGGCAGTACGTACACACCGGGGCTCGAAACCAGAACCTTCTGGTTACAAGGCTAGCGAGCCCGTAGACAATTAAGCCACTGGGACCCGATCCAATGGCCAGCCCATGAATTCTAACATCTGCCAATTCGTGACATAGCGCGACCCCTAGCCAATGTCCTTGGCGAGTATTGGTCCTCACACCTGACCTGCTGCATCCTACTGGTGACGACTTCTCAGTAGAACCCCAGGTAACTACCTACCTAAATAGCACAAGTCGCTTGTGAAAATCTCATTTAAATTCGAGTACGAACCCCGCTACATGCGTACTGATGAAGAGTTCAAAACTGGGACGAAACAGCTGTCCAGTACTCCCTGATTGGTTTTCCAATGGTTCCCTAACTAGTGTCAGCTCATGATGAAATCTTGTAACCAATCAAATCCCTACAATCCAGCACTTGAATCTATTGATTTGATTATGAGCGGTAATACACTGTGCTCAAAACGTCATCTAGTTATCAATATGTCGGTGTTATCAAATTAATCTGCCTAACGATGGTCAGATGAACATAAAAATTCATAAACTCATTGACTTTTTGTCCTAGTTAAGAGAGTTTAGGTTGGATGATTGACATTCTTATTATATTTTGATGCAATTGTGTTCCCTGAGCTGGACAGTTTAGCTGCGGAGCTTTCATTGACCTACCTACCTACTAGGCAACATGTCCAGTGCATACTTCAATTTGTTGAAGTGAGCTTTTAGATTTCTCCTCGAGTTTATTATTTATCACTCCTGGTGACCTGACCTTAAGTGTGTGGTTCGTTGTTTTAGTGTGTTTTCACACCCTCTAGGCGGCTACTTATATTGGCGTTGGTGCTGATTGTTTCCTTGGCCAAAAGTGTGGCCCTTTGTGTGTGACGTTTCCTTCTTATAAACTGGTCAATTTTGTCTATGTTGGTATGTGTCCATTATTAATTGACGATTCACTGGAATACCAGCAGCCTTCTAAAACAATTCTCCGACATTCTTCGTGTTATTTCCTTTGTCTAATATTTGAAAGTTGGTTGTCGCAGTCGAATTGATGTCCGTGGTTGTCTGTATGTAGCGATATGAGCGAGGGAGTGGATGTCATGTCTTTTGACGGCTAGTCCATAATCATGCATACGAAGACGAAGAAAATGTCGTCCTTTTTGGCTACTGTAGTGTTTTCGCAGTCGTTGCAACTTATTTTGTAGATGATCTTGGTTTTATCTCCTTTCGATGTTGAGTCTTTTGGTTGACACAGAACCAGTTGAGTGAAGTGATTTTGTTGGCTCGTGTGCAACATCAATTCCTAAGGGTTCGAAGAGTCTTGCAGTGATTTTTGAGAAGTTTTCTTTTATATATGGTAGGGGGATTTTCTTTGTACTTTCCTTGGGGGCCTTTGATTTGGTAGGTTGGCTTGAGGCCAGATGTCTTTTAATGAAGTTCCATGAGATTTTTTCTGCTTCAATTTTCCTAAGGCTAGAAGTGCTGCAATGAGTCCTGACTGATTGGTTGGCTGGCTCTCTTGAATAGTGTGTGTATACAACTCCTTTTGTGTGTTATCGGATTGTTGTTGTTGTGATTGAGTGAGTATTTAGTCTGTGTCAGTCGAATTTCCACAAATTTGAGTTCCTAGTTCCCCTGCAGTTGTTCGCTTAAAAAAATGTGTTGAATCATTAGCTGAAGTGTTTCGTGTCCACCACTTTTTTCTTACAGTCAGATTTCTATTATTAATTAACACATAAAAACAATTTTGTTTTAAAAAATCAAAACAACAAAATCAAATTTTGAAAGAAAAAAACCACTTACTTTAGTGGTAATAAAAACATTAAAACTGCCTTTTCATGAACATGCCAACCGAACATAAAACATGACCAGGTAGTTAGAATGACAGATTTGAAAAAGGTATGCGTAATAACACCGGTTGGAAAATTAAAGAAACGACTTCTTCCGACTGATAGGCATAGGCTAGGCTGTTAAAATTTTGCAAAAGAAATAATACTTGTGTAAGTATAATACTACTAAAAAGCGTATTTTTGAAGTAATATATAACGTTACTTTTTTGGGCAAATAGAAACCTTAGTGTTTTTGCATAACCTCACTCATAAAACGGTCAAAATTATTGATACTGTGGTGAGATCTGGCTGCTAGCCAATATTGGTAGACAGTAATTTACGTCAGTGTTTACGTCCACAATATTGGTCGTGAGAAAAATGAGAACAAAGACTGACTCGACAACCAACCACAGAAGACTTTGTTTAGGCGGACACAGTTCGCAGATAGATAATCTGAACTTCAAGAAACGGCCACAAAGAGATGAAAGATTAACGTTCAGCGAGAAACCACCAATCAGAAGACTGTGTTTGTTTGCTTATAATAATCTATAATAATGTACATGAAAATCTATAAATATGTGTTGATTTCCTAAGTAAACAGTCTGTTGACTAGCCATTGTCTTCTGTTGTTACAATACTACTGGAATAAAAGTGGCATTAAACCCACAAACTCAATTAGAAACAAGCTTTGTCGGTTAAAGGATCAATCCTGGGGAGCCTTTAAGACAAAACCATTTAGTTTATCTAATACCCTGCCTGCTGGAATGATTGTCAGGTCAAATACATAGGTCAAACTAGTAGAACAGAGGGAGTCAGACTAGTCGAGCATAAAAGCTTAGCAAAATCTAGACTAGTTGACCTGCATAAGATAAGAAATCTAGAGAATTGTTCAGCTATACCACTCACTACATTCAGTTACACACAACCATACAACAGGATGGATGGGATAGGATGACAGTTTTGAAATCTAATGTCACAGGGTGGATGGAGAGATTGATGACAGCAGAAGCTTTGTTTATCGAATCAACTGCAAATCAACAGGTGTAATAGGAATGATTCAACACCTGTCCAGTCGGAGATCTGGAAAATTCTACCACCCCAACGACGACAAATAAGAGAAGACAACGAAAACTATAAAACTCAAGTTTCAAAGTCGTGTGATTATAATCGATATGATTATGAACAATAAATTTTGTTCGAAACGCCATCCAGTAAATAATACTGTTTCACTGACTGTGTGATATATCTAATCAACAAATTAATATGGAATTAACCCAGTTCTTTTCTACATCTGATCATCATCATCATGCTGTAGGACGTATTAATTTGGTTCTTAATTTTATTTCTTATACTCGGATACACGACACTTAAGATTATGCAACATGAATAGTATGTGGACGATCTAACTATTTCAATGTCTGTTAATTCCCAGATAGATTGTACTTAGATGCACAGCTTTTGATCAGGAGTCAGCAGATGGTCTTAAACTAAACCCTCCCAAATCTCAGACTGTTCATTTCAGTTTCCGATATAAAAGAAAGTTAAATGAAGTTGTTAATTCATATGACCGCTGCAAAATGGATGATGGTGACATAGAAACCAAATTTGATGTTAAGCATCTTGGATTAATTCTTTTTCCTGACCTATCCTGGTCTTCCCATGTCTTGGCAATTTCTAAAAGAATATTTCGTCTGACTTTTTACATTAAGGAGTTGAGGTACTCAGGTATAGCCCGACAACTCCCCTTACAGTTTGTCAACTCGTGCATTTCACGTATTCTTTCTTGGATTGCTTAAAAAAGACTATGTCATACACCGTAGAACTCTGAAGACTGTCAATCAGTAAGGTGAGTGGTGGTATCACATTGGGCCACTCATTGACATTGTCATTGATAGACACTTGATGTCATTTAACAAATTTGCTAAATGGATTTTGTCAGACTGTGAGCATCCACCTCACCACTCGCAGCTCCAACCTTGTATCTCCTCAGGTAAAACAAGAAGTCTAATCAGAAGACTTTATGCATGTACGTCTAAGTATAAAAATCCCACTAAACCGTATTTGGTGGCAAGTACTTTATATGATGAAAGTAGTGTTAGGCGTGAACTAACTAGCCTTCGTTCCACTGGTAAATAAACCTTTTTCTGCATCCTTACTCCATCAAGCTACCTTGTTATTATTCTTCGTTTATTTATAATCCTCTTAATTTTTTGTATACAATTGGTGGATGGTGGCTAGCAGTGGAATCCAGGATGCGCATTTCGTCCTAATTGGGACTCGTCATCTGGAGGTACCTGCATTTCTCAGTGAGTGATGATGTTCCCACCGAGGCTCGAACCCAGTGCCCATAGTTTCAAACGCCAAAGCGTTATCCACTAGACCACTTGGATAACGCTTTGGCGTTTGAAACTATGGGCACTGGGTTCGAGCCTCGGTGGGAACATCATCACTCACTGAGAAATGCAGGTACCTCCAGATGACGAGTCCCAATTAGGACGAAATGCGCATCCTGGATTCCACTGCTAGCCACCATCCACCAATTGTATACAAATCAAATCCCCGGACATCGTCGAAGCATCTGCACAAGAAGCCGACATGTCAACCTGAGACCGAGCACTTCGGTCCAATCAATCGACGGGAAAATCAAGAATTCAATTCAATAACTCTCAATTTTTTGTTTATATTTGTTTATTTTCTCATAAGTGTGTACATCATTTAAGCTGTGATATAAGTGTTAATTTCGTTATTTCCCTCACTATACTATATCAACAAAACAGTTTCAATACTCTATAACAACGTGCTAAAATTTCCAAACTGAATCGACAATACTGTCTGAAACAAACTCACTGTTGTTATTGTTATTATTATTATTACTATATTTATTATTCTCAATTAGTATTTCAAATATTTTTGACTTCATATCGTAAATGTGGACAAATTCCTCTGCTTACTTTTATTTATATTTTGATTCAATCAGATGTAATATTATGACAAATGCTGAGAATTCTATTCTGTATTATACGTACTGTTTTTGGAATAAAGTAGCTTATATATATATATATATATATATATATATATATATATATATAAAAGATGGTTAAAAGAAGTCGTCGATTCTCATGACAGTTGTAAGATTGACGACAATGATACAGGAATTACGTCAGAAATTAAGTATCTTGGACTTATTCTCTCTTCTGATTTCTCCTGGTCTTCCCATGTCTTACCCGGCCGATAACTGCTACCTTGTCGTGGTGGTCGGGCTTGAATACCACACTGATCCAACAAGCTCAACTGACTGGTACTCTGTCCCTGCAGGTCCTACTATGTCAGGAAGGTTGTTTGGATAGCGGTTAAACTAAAAGCAGTTACCATGGGGTACATAGGCTCCAGTATCCAATCGGATCAAATAGCGTATGAACCCATATGGGTCACCGGAAACCATGGGAATGCAGCTCCTGACGCTGCTCCGCTGCCTTTCGGATTAGACTCCAAGTCAAAGGCTCGAGGGGTGGTCCCTTAATAAAACCACCTTCTTCGGTCTGGGCGCCCGCGCAGTATCTCAGCCCTCACACAATGAATTGAATGAAGCAACAAACAATCAATGAAACTTATCGCGTGCTATTACACTTGTTGCAATTTCCTTCTTTCTTCCCTTCCCGATGATAGTTAACGAACACTGTTTGAACTTGTTAAGCATGACTGTTTTCCTTCCAGATGAAGTTCTTTATCCGTTCTCTACTTATATATGTTTTTTTCTCTTCTTTCTTTTTTTTCTTTTGATCTATGTTGTTTTATTATTATTATTGTGTGGCGCATCCTTCTTGGTGCCATATTGTACCAAGTTTTTATGCGTTTAAATAAATAAATAAATAAAAATCCCATGTCTTAGAGATCTCCAAGAAAATATTCCGCCTGCCAACAAGCATCACTATGAATGAAAAAACATACCATCATGAATAGCAGGCTTAATAAAGCTGTATGCGAGGGTAAAATATTCGGCAGAATCACATGTTTCACATTTTCTACAAGACCACCAGTCATACTTGCTACAGAGGTGACTTTTTGAGGCCATTTATGAAGAAAATGATTATCTGAAAGATAGAAATCACAAAAACAAAACGAAAAAACCAACTTTTAAGTACATCCCATTAAATTTATGCAGATATGATGATATTTTAAAGAAAGATAGTACAGTGTGTAGCACTTTAACGGAATTAATAGATAGTGAAAAAAATCGTGTTTACGATCACTGCTGACTCAGATAAAATTTAGTAAACATTTACTTTTTAATACTATCAATTTGGGTTTCGTTAAGCAGTTGGTGATTAGTGTCTGTAGGTATGGTATATGCTTTGCGCCATCCAAGTGCAAAGTGTTGTTACACGATCGGCAGGAGCCTGTACCTGCACTCACTCTTGCGGGTGAACCGCTTGAAGTTGTTGATAAGTTTGTGTATCTGGGTAGTTGTGTGAGTGTTGGTGGAGGGTTGATGGATGAGATTCCCAACCGTATCATGAAGCCTAGGGTGGTATACATCAACTTCAGCCACCTATGGTGCCGTCGAGACGTTAGCCTGGCTGTCAAAAGTCGGGTATACAATGCTTCGGTACGGGCTGTCTTACTCTACGCCTGTGAAACCTGGACTCTCCGAGCTGAGGATGTTCGGCGGCTCTGCGTGTTCGATCATCGCTGTCTCCGCAGGATTGCTTGCGTTCGACGGCATAATCGCGTGAGTAATTCTGAGGTTCGGCGGTGTGTGTCTGAACACAATGGAGGTCACCACTCGTTGAGTGTTGTCATCTGGAAACACCGGCTTCGGTGGCTTGGACATGTGCTTCGAATTTCATCCCAGAGGCTTCCGTACAGGTATCTGTTCGATAGCCCTGGGACCGAATGGAAAAGGCGGAGAGGTGGTCACCTGATGACGTAGCATCGTGGGGGTCTGAAAGATAGCTCTAATTGACGGCTCGAAACGTTATCGGATATGACCAAGAATCGTAATCAATGGCGAAGGTGTTGCAATCTCCTTCTTTCTTCCCTTCCTGATGATAGTTGACGAATGCTGTCTGAACTTGTTAAGTATGACTGTTTTCCTTCCAGATGAAGTTCTTTATCCGTCCTCTACTTACATTTTTTTAACTTTTGATCTATGTTGTTTTATTATTATTGTGTGGCGCATGTTTCTTGGTGCGACTTGCATCAAATTTTCCACGTTTAAATAACAATAATAATTATAAGCACAAGGCTTTCCATAACTTAAAATTGTAGTAAAGGCTACGCATGAAAAGCTCCTTAAAATGTCCACTTACAATTTTTTAGTATTATATAATCCTTTAAAATATTTTTCTCCCACAAATACGAAAAGAAATCTCATCATACTCTAACACAAACTTCCACTAATATAAACTAAGACTCAAAAGAAAGCCCCTAAATCGTTATTTTCGATTTATATCTTCCAATTAAAATAACACCAATTTTTCTATAACACACACACAGTACATGGTAAGTGAAATAATTCCCAGCGTCTTGATTCATTACACCTTTCAGGTTTGGCAGTACAATAAGCATATCTTGCTTCAAACATCTGAGAATAGCATATTCGCTTAGTCTCTCCGCTCTGGAGACAGAGGGTTATAAAAAATTGACCTCAAAAATTGTACATCCCGACTTACCCTACGGTGGTCAGTAACCGGTGGTGAATTTACTAATGCAGAAGCAATCCAAGAAATCAGTTCACACAGGCCGTGTGTGAATGGCCGACCTCAAGCAGTTATCGCCTGGGCTCTGCAGTCACGCAACTCTAACCCTCTTTCTGTTTCAGGTACCCCAAGAATCGATCAACTTCCACGGTGTGGGCAGCCGGGAAATAACAACCGCCCACACGCCTCCGAAAGCACACGAAGCCTTTCTGAGCATCTCCTCTTTTCAGGTAGTCCAACTCTTCAAGGAATATGCTTTCGAGGCAGTTTACTCAAACAGCCTCCTAACCAATCCTTACCTGTATTTTAATGGACAAAATCTGGCATAATTGAAATACTGTCCAACCCAGGTATGTTTGAGGCATATTCAAGCAGCATTTTTGTTGTTAAGTCAACTACCGAAACTTCTAGAATATCCTTCGAACTCACGATAGAAAACTACTCTCTTTTCGTGTTATTTGTGACTAATTATGCCATCACACAATTCATCCACATTTTCTCTTTAAGTACAATCCACTTTTGTCGACAGAATAAAAGAATTTAATTTAATTTTAGATTTTCCCGTCGATTGATTGAACCGAAGTGCTCGGTCTCAGGTTGACATGTCGGCTTCTTGTGTAGATGCTTTTACGATATCTGGGCATTTAATTAGTATTTAATTGGTGGATGGGGACTAGCAGTGGAATCCAGGATGCGCATTTCGACCTATTTGAGACTCGCCATCTGGATGTACCTGCATTTACCAGTTGGAACATCATCACTCACTAGGAAATCCAGTTACATCCAGATGACGAATCCAGAATAGGACGAAATGCGTATCCTGGATTCCACTGCTAGTCACCATCCACCAATTAAAGAATTAAAAATGTTACTTCCCATATACTATGTATATTTTAGGCTCTCTGCAGTTGAAGAGAAGCCTTGAAATAAAATGCGTACATTTTATGCTCCGAATTTCGTTTTTCTTGCATTAATGAACCTTGATTATTTCAAACTCAACAGAATATTTCAGAAATAAATTCCGAAGCGATTTAAACAAAAGATATTAAGGCATTATAATAGAGGTTTTTGTATTTCCCAATGAATGAAAAACAAAACAATATTGTTTTTACTGACATTTCGCTATTTAATGCTAATAGCTTTCTCAAAGTATTATTACACCGGAATTTACAAAATAACACTTTGAGAAAGCTATTAGCATTAAATGGCGAAATGTCAGTAAAAACAATATCGTTTTGTTTTTCATTCATTGGGAGATACAAAAACCTCTATTATAATGAATATCATATACCCAATGCCCAAATTTTTTCAAACCGTTAAAAGTGAACTTGGTTTGGACATATATAAGATATTAAGGCAGTCCAAAAGAAAGCATAAAATGTCAAGAACCCATACTATTACACATAAATAATAATCATAATAATTCTTAGTGATACTATAAAGTGAACTTACCAAGAACATTTAACACTTTGTCCATAAAATTATATAAGGACCAAAAATTAGGTGCCCAATAAGCATGACATAGACCCCGTGTAAACGGGAAAAGACGACTTAATACTTGTTTCATTTGATTCTATAACATGATTACTATTAAAGCGTTTAGATTTGCGAACCGTATAAATGAAATAGCCAAATGATGAAGCCATCACAATTAGAACAATGCTGCCAACTTTGATAAAACGATTGATAACACTTGAAAATTCACGTCTCCCTTAAGTTAAACAGTTGATATTACTATTATTATATAAGATAAACTAACCTAAACAATAGTTCATTAAAATATGAACAAAATATGCTGGAGCTGTATACATGAAAATATGCTTGAAATTCAATAATACAGTGAACAGAAGTGCTGCGACCAGATAATTTTCCTAGGGAAAATAGATTAATATGTAAATATATGTATAACTATTACTTCAATCATGTATGCCATAGATAGCAATAATATACCAAACATAAACCCATTATATTGGAAATGTATATCTGTAGAATATTATATAGGAAAATAGCACTGAAAGATACTCAAATTAACATATCAGTCGCTTTGAGGAAGATAATGGGGAAGCAGAAACATGACGAAATTTTATCCAAAATAAAGTCAAACCATATCACAGAACAGAACTGCTCTAAACTTTAACTAGTAATTCAAATGCTGAAGAGGTATCATAAAGGACAAAACAGTCCCACATGAGAGTTATTTTCAATAAAACAGTTCAACTTTTTCTTTGAACAGAATAAACATAAGCTATATATACAAAGTAAGTTTCGAAACGCAATTAATGAGTGCTTTGTACCATCTAAGTGCAGAGTACTGTCAATAGTTGGAACGAACTTATACCTGCACTCAACTTGAATCATCTGTAGTTAAGAAGTGTGCCTATCTACGTAACTATGTGGATGCTGACAGTTGAAGCACTAAATCCTTAGACATATGTAGAAAGTAACAACAGCACGCGCCAAACTGGGCTATTTTTAATGCAGTTTATGTTACTCAACTACTTTATCTTCCTCCTTATATTGATTTTTTCTTGTGTGGAGCAACACACTTGGGCTACAAATTGCGCCAAGTTTGTTTTAAATGTAAATGGGCTTTGCTGTAGACCACGGCATCCTAAACCATCTCGTATAAATCATTTTAAGTTGAAATAATCCTCTTTAAATAATGCGTACCTCTAATATCAAATATTTTCTATTCTTAATGATGTACTTAAACAGATAAGCCACATTCTTAACGCCCAGAACTCATATTCCATCCTAATCACTTTGATCTGAGTAGTCACATAACGTCATAAGCCCAGTGAATCGAAAGTCCACACCGAAGTAAATAAATGTGGGCAGTGTGTCAAACATGAGTAGGTGAATGTCGGTAACTGACAGCAAGTATTATTTCCAGACAGACTTCATTGGTAATGACAAAAAGGATACGGTCAACAATGAACAAGCCGAAATTGAAAGCGAAAAGCAGCCATAGAGGAAAGTAACTTTGCTTCAGAAACAAGCAACCTGACGCTTTTAGCGAACGGTATATCCTAAAAAGTAAACTCTCAGTTTAAAAAATACCTGAAGACGGCAGCAAACAGAAGAATTTCTGTGATAAGAACACTTATTCTTTGGAAAATAATAACTGTGTCCGATACATAAGGAATCGCAGTAACGCGACAAATATCGGGATCAATTCGAATTGCTAGGAGTGACAATAACCATTCAAAAAAAGCAAAGAATGGTGGGTAGTCCAGCGTCCATTTAGATGTCTCCTAAAGAAAGTCATATTCATTAGCTTAGAAAACATACGTCATAGTACCACCTCGAAATTGGGAGTGAACAGGTGATTGCGATCCAGTTTCGATGTACTTCGAAGTCAGTTGAATGGCTACATATTATACATGAAATGTATTCTTACTAAGAAAAGAAAAATAGGGACTTAAATGCAGCAGCTGCAGTCACAACAAGCAATGCAACGACAGATGGCCACATGTCGAGTGACCTTGACAAGTCAAAAGTTGGCGTGTTTTCTGTAAACAGTTTACAGACTCAAACAAAATCCCAGATGTTGTGGTGGATTCTTGTTTCAGAAAGCAAAAGTGATGCACTTCCTGACTTAAGCGCTTCCGGGTTGTATTTTCAGTGAGTGTGTTGGGTGAGGTAAAGAGTGATGGATCTCCAATCATACTTATGTCCTAGTACGCTAATCCTCTCTTGCACCGAAGATATTTCGCTACTCAAATGTGATTACTTGCCACTGCTGATGACAACATGAACCTATAACTAAAAATTACTGAAAATGCTCAATTATTTGTGACAGAAACACAGAACTGTGTTCTGTATTGGTTAATATCGAGTGGCTTTATTGCATATCCCCGCTAATTGTAGTGTTCATGTCCATTGCCATGTTGGTTTAGTAAAAAGTTATGTTTCTTAATGCATTTTAAACGAAACTTTCAGTTAAAAAAATTTTCTGACGCACATAACACTGGCGATATAATGTACTTGTACTGCGTTACATTTGCTGAAATTGTATCAAGAAATGTTGCTTGATAGTGATATCTGGGTAATGTGATGGATTAAATAATGTAGTAAGTTCAAAATTTAAGTGTATATGATTGAATTTTCGTGCACACGTACTGGTATATTCAGCCTATTTATTCGGACGCCATTGTCTTTTTAGAGGCTGACAGTATTGACGTCCAAGGGTAGTACGAAGTAAACTAACGCAAGATGTACTACCCAGAACTTTTATGGTATTCGTTCTTCGTTGACCAAAAGCGAAGCAAAACACAGGAGTTGGTTGTCCGAATTACGAGACATATTTCGAGACCAAATCAGAGTGAGATGAGCACTTGGCTAGCTAGGGATGTTGCACGAACAAACGAACATGACACGATGGGGTACCAAATGGCGTGCTTGACCGGAAGCCTTCAGTTAAACAAGCTGACTTAAACAGTGGGGGTCAGCATCCAATCTTCAGCGATGAGTGCTGTGGTCAATAATTTTGGGGAATTATTTACATCTACAGCTCATTCCCCCCTATTAGGGTTGTGAGGATACTAAGACAAAACCAGCCGTAATTTAAGAAATCCCAGTGGTTTTCCCATCGGTAAAAACATTTTTCCGAGCGGCTTGATGTGGTGCCTACTGGTCGTCTACCTACGCTAATAGAGTGTCTGTACATCACTTCGTTAATGTTTTTCCGTTGGATCTCGTGCTTCTTCTTGCTTCTTGTACAGTGCCCGTCACACCTGGAAAAGAAGACTAGAATGCTTAGAACCTTGCTGAGGGAAACGTACCAAAACTAACGTTTGAATGATGATATACGTCTACCGTACAAACAAATAATGCGAAAAACAAATCGTCAAAAGAAGTATATATCCAATTTTTTAGTGGATGTTACATGTAGGGCCACAGACAAGCTCTTACTTGTGTTGTGGGATGCAGTATAGAAAAACTGATGTGTCTGAAAGAAAAAAGTAAATAAATACCACAAACGAATAAAAGTTGGGTGAATCGCATCACTTCGTTATGTTATATAAGTGTGAAGATATTCTGGGAATCTCACGTTTCTCCAGAATGCTTTTTCTTTGAGGGCTCGACAGGAGGTTCGGTGGCCTTCGCCGTGCTAGCGATTTCCTCGAGGAATAATGGATATTCAGGTTCCTGTGTATTATTAGGAATGCTCAGCTCTAGGCTAATAGGGCTGCCTTCTGATTAGGCCAGTTTCAAACGGTCGTGGCCATTTTTGTCGACGACAAAAAATTTATCCATTCTTTTGATGACATCATATTTTCCGTCGTATGGTGGTTCCAGAGGGCGACGTGCAGAGTCACGACAAACGAATACGTGTGAAGACATTTTCAAACTCGAGTGAACAAAGACATCAATGGACTGTGGTCGAAGGGGAGCAGGTTTAACTGAACGCATTGCGTTTGTAAGCCTGACGACACATGAGACACGATCCACAGCTGGTGGGAAGCTAAGAGGAGAAACTAACTCACCTGACAGTCGTAGTGTTGTGCCATATACTAGCTCAGTGAAGGTACAACCAGCATCAGTTTTCAAGGCGTTTCGTATCCCTAGGGGAACTAACGGTAGTGATTCAGTCCAATGTGCATTGTTTGCAGCTGATAACCCAGCCTTCAGTTGTCGGTGCAGACGTTCTACTATACCATTAGCTTCAGGATGGTAGGCTGTTGTTCTGAAGTGCATGTAACCTATGATTTCAGTCGGGGCGAAGAATAAGCCACTTTCAAGTTGCCGCCTGCGGTCAGTTGTTATGGGGGATGGACATCCACAGTTTGTGGTACATCGTTGGACAAAGACGCGTACGACTGTTGGAGCAGATACATCTTTGAGGGGTACTGCTCTAGGCCACTGTGTGAAACGGTCAATGTAGGTTAAGAAACAGGTATATCCATGAGATTCTGGAAGGGGTCCAACCAAATCTATGTGAACGTGTTCGAAACGAGCATCAGGGATAAGAAAGGTGACTAGGGGGCTTTTGGTGTGTCTCAGTACCTTGCACTTTTTACAGGCTAAGCACGTGTGTGCCCATTCCCTTACTTCTTTATGAATACCATGTCATTAAAACCGACTAGTTGCAAGCATGACGGTAGTTCGAATACGCCATGCAACGTAATGAAGACGTAACAGTGAAAACTTTTGGGCACAATGACGCGAGGAGTACTCGTGAAAATGTCACATAAAATAGTGTTTCTTCCTACGCCTAAGGGTTTATAGGGTAATTGCTGAGTTATTTTCGACAACTCATGTTGAAGCTCGGTATCTTCTGTTTGAAGAGAGGTCAGTTTAACAATGTCTACGCAGTCTTTTTGGGCGATGGAACAAGTGCGCGACAAGGCGTCTGCAACAGTGTTGTTCACTCCGGATATATTCGAATATCCGATGTAAACTGTGAAACGTAGTCCAGTTGTCGCGATTCCCTGGGTGAATACTTATCTGAATGTGAGTACATCAGAGGTTTGGGGTCAATGAAAATGAGAAATTAACGACCCTCCACTGAATGTCGAAAATGACGTATAGCACAGCACATGGCCATAAGTTCTCTGCTGAATGTGCTGTACTTCGTTTCTGCCAATTGTAGGCGCCTTCAGAAAAAGGGGAATGGTTGCCACTCTCTGTTGACTACCTTTTGCAGAACTGTGCCGATCCCAGTGTCTGATGCATCAACCAAGATACTTAACTTCGCCGTCTGATCCTGATATATAAGAAGCGTGGCGTCCGCAATAGCTTTTTAAACCTGAGTGAAAGGATTTTGAGCAGCTGCGTCGAGTTCGATGGACTTTCCGTTCCCCCAAAGAAGATCTGTTAGTGGTTGAATCAGGGAAGCACAGTTAGGAATAAACCATCGGTATTAACTTATCTAGCCGTTAAAAGTGCGGAGACTTTTCACCGTCCGTGACTCTGGAAAGTTCAGTTTCGCTTCAGCTTTACTAGCCAGTGGGCAAATACACTTGCGGTCAATGGTGTGGCCCAAAACGTCGAGTGAGTCAATGCCTATCTTATACTTTTGAATGTTAATGGTAACACCATGTCGGTGTAACCTTTCTAATGCCAAGTCCAAGTGTCTAGGGTGAGTTTCCTTGTCCGGACTGGCAATGAGGCAGTCGTCTAAGTATGCGTATACGAAATCGAGACCACGAAATACTCTGTCAATGAAATGTTGGAATGTTTGTGCTGCATTCCGGAGACCAAATGGCATACGTAGAAATTCAAAAGTCCGAAAGGTGTATTGATAGCCGTTTTCGAAATGTCTTTTGTTGCCATCGGGATTTGGTTATACCCTACAGCCAAGTCTGTTTTAGAGAATATAGTTCCACCAGATAATGTTTCCGTCAAGTCGTGTATGTGAGGCAATGAACAGCAATCATGGGCTGCTTTGGCGTTCACTCACCGGTAATCACCAGTGGGTTGCCAATCGATGCTATCCTTTTTTGGTACAATATGCAGTGGGGATGTCCATGGGCTTTTCGATGGCCGAATGATGCCAAGGGTGAGCACATGGTCGAATTCATTTCTGGCGAGTCATGTTGTCAGCCACGTCTCATAAACTGTCAATGCCCAGCTCTTGCTACACTGGGACTCACGCTGTTCCTTGAAGTTTCTCAGAAACGCTTAGTACGGACGGACGCAAAACCAAAACACCGATTGGCTACTCGAGAATTCTTTATTGTAACACCAACATATAGGCAGCTTTACAATTAAGTTTTAACTAAGGTCTATGAACAAATATTACAATAATAAATCACAATATTACTTCTGATGGTTTACTGCTGACTTCTTTCTGAACAGCGACCGATGAGACGATGACTGGTGTATCAATGTCTCCGCGAAAATATAGGGAATTTGGGTTTGAGCAAACAACCATGAATTGATCTTTCAATCTTCGACTACATTCACACATGTTTTTTCAGAAGCGAGTCGTCGTGCTCTAGATATCAGGTGCTGTCCTCAGGTGATGATGTGGTGCATAACATTGCTGGTTATGCATGGTGGGTTGTTAGACAGGCAGTTGAGTTCCGGATATTTGTCAACAATCGATTGAAAATTCGCATCAACGATCGCTTTCATCTTAACAAGTGATGCCTTTGATAGAAAGACTAGTAGTGTTGTCACTCAGTCGTTTTCGGCGGACATCTACAAGTAAATCATGATGATTAAGTAGGTCCGTGCCAATGATGGGCATTGTGACGTCAGAGAGAAGGAAAATCCACTGAATAGGTTTGCGTAAACTGACGTTCAGATAGACGTTTTTCCTACTAAAGGTTGCAATAGGTTTTCCATTTGCAGCCCGTAAGTTGAAGATAAGTTCCTTCTGTCGATCTGCTGCTGTAGCATAAAGGACGTTGACTTTGGCGCCTGTATCGACTAGGTACTGTGTCTGGCCGACTACATCACGAATGTAAAGTAGGTGAGTAGTGGCACCGGCAGCGGTTGCCGCTAACGCGTGCAGGCTGGATAGC